TCGAATGGATCTGTCGTTGCTGTCGCACTAGGAGGTGGTGTAGCTAAATGATCAAATTTGTGTGAGTTTCTTTCATGATAATAGTAATGTGAATGTTTGAGTTGATGAATCTTTAATTTCTAGCATGGGACTTCCCGCAATATAGATTGATACTGTCGGTCAATGCTTGTGATCTTGATGGATGTCATGAAAGTGGGATGGGGCTTACCAGAGGAGTTGTTTGAAGCTCCTCGACCCGTCTGTCCGCGACCTCTTGCTCCTCGCGAACTTTTGGAATTTCCTCGTGCGCCTCTGGCGTTACTGCTACTGAGCAGCATGGTTCGTGATATGGATCATGGAGAGGCGGGAGAGGACGCGGAGAGGAGTGTTTAGATTATCGTTTGTATCTACTTCTAGTGAATTTAATTTCAATTTTTGAATTTCTTCTTCACTTGTCAATTGACTGTACCTATTGAATTGTAACTATCGCAAGCTCAAAGATCTATAGTCCGAGAACAGGGTTATCTACACACTAAACTTCATACGGCAGTGTCGGGATTCTGCCGTTCCAGAGCCACCACTACCAGTGATTCTTTTTTCTTTTGCAGTACGAAATTGCATTTCAATACCTACCAAGATAGTCACGTGGTAGTAAAGTGAAGTGATGCATTTTTAGGGATTGGAAATGGATTTGAAAAATATTCCGCTGTCATAAATGTGGTTAAATTCTGGAGATCACTAGGGGTCTGTCAAAAGTAAATCTGTGGGTTTTGAAAGATGTAGATGTATATTTCTATTCTATGGTAGCCCAAGACAAGTCCTAGACGAAGGCCCCAATGTACGCCATGATACCGCTTTTACTCTTAGATGTCATCATAACCTTGGGATATTCCTAACTTTTCATAGCCTTTACCTGAACTCCCTGCACCATGTGAACCAGATACCAACCCACAACTCCTTATTTTTAGATGTCCTCACCATTACGCCCTTTGCGAACGATTGGCACGACTGGCGCGACTACCGAAGCTGGTGAAGCGTGCTGGACCAAGACCCATTCTGACCTCATCCAATTGCTCCATACCAGTTTGGTATTTCATCTTCTTGACGTTCTTCTTACCACTCATGGAGTGAGTGCCCAGGAAATCATCCAGAATGCCATCGAAGTCTTGACGAACATCACCTTCTACAGTAGAAACGGAAGACGAAGCCATTGAGACGGACGCCATATCATCGAAGTCCTCATTATACTGTTCCTCAATCTTCTCAAATCGCTGATCGAGTGTGGTAAGGCCTTCGGTTCTGAATAGTGAAGACGATGTCATGGAGTATGCGGAAGGATTAGTCAAAGCACCCTTTCTCTTCTTGCGTCTTCCGCCATTTGTTGTGGTAGTAAATATAGATGACTGCAAATCTGCTTGTGAAGGCGTAGCTTGAGCTTTACTAGACTTTTGATCCTTCTTGAATTTACTGAAGTTTGCCATCCAATCTCCATCGCCATGATCCTCTCGCTCGTCATCGTCGATATCTTGGGTTGTAGCAGGTGCGTCCTTGTATTCTTGAGTAGGCTTTGCCGTGGCGTCCGATTCCCATCCATCTTCATCATCCCAAGTTTCATCGAATTCATCTTCATCTAATTCCTCGCCATCTTCTGCCAATTTTCCGAAAATTTCATCATCATCGTCTACATAAGCCTCGTCTTCTAAAGCCTCCAAAACCTCCCTTAATCTCGGATCCATATCGGGTTGGAAACCAGCTAAAGCATCAGGGACATCTTGTTGCGCTTGGTAAGTAACCTTGCGGAGGTTCTTGGATGGTAAGATCTCAGCATCAAGAACGGCTCCAGCCTTGTCTTCCAAACTTGCGTTCTTAAGCGCCTCTTCCAAAGATTGCTTCCCCTTGCCCTTGTTCTTATTTTTTGGTCCAGTAGCTTCGACAAAAGTTGATTCACCCCCTCCACGGCCCAAATCGCGCATATGTTGCATATAATCATATTCGGTATCGTCGTAGTACACGCCATAGTTTGCGGCTTCACCTTCGTTATCTCTGACATGCGCAATACCTGAACCAAGCTCGGCGGTTAAATCATCGAGTTTCTTGACTTTATTCGGATTGGGTGCACTGGTGGGGTTCAGGACCATGGACGAAGCAGATTCATCGTGAATTAACGGATCGTTCTGAGGGCGATGGACAAGTTGAAAATGTGTCGCATTCTTCTTATCGATCCACTTTCCTCTAGCCATATTGCCGGTATTATTTATCACTTGGAATGTCGAGAAATGGGTTTATTGTCTTCTGCTCGGATGAGAAATTCGGGGTTTACAGATGCAGATATCAGAATTATAAATCTACATGTGTGGAAAGATTTAATTTTCTTAGTGCGAGGGGCTGCTTTTTTTAGGCGGGCCCATCTTCTTTTATCATAGTACTAAGCCGAGAAATTTGCCCCTCATTTTTGCTCGATAATCAGAGATAATCAAAACTCCACCGTAAAATTATAAAATTCAATAATTCATTCTCAACCCCGCGAATTTTGAAACTTTCTTGTAGCGTTCTTATTTGTATTATCATTTATCGAAACAAAGTGAAGGCCGGATACAAGTAAACACGATGGTTCTCGCGAAATCCAAAAATGCCGTTGGACTGGGGAACAGTTTGATGAATGATAGGTTTGGGAAGGGCAAAGGAGCAGATCGCAAAAAGACCACAGCGACTGGAATTCAGAGAACACACAAAGACACCGGTGAAACCGTATGTATAAATTCAATCAATCTATCTCTCCATACTGACAGAACATAGTATGTCACAAACGAAAAGCAAGAGGCCAGCTGGGTCAAGATGCGATCGGTTACGGAGCAGGCAGCACTCGATGAATTCTTGTCCACTGCAGAGTTAGCCGGCACAGATTTCACAGCGGAGAAGATGAACAATGTTAAAATTATTCATACCGATCAAAAGAATCCATACTTGTTATCGGCTGCGGAAGAACGAGCTGCAGTTGGCAAGCAGAAGGTACATAAAGAAAGACTCACAGTTCCAAGAAGACCGAAATGGGATTCTACTACGACCCCACAAGAACTTGATAGAATGGAGAGAGATGGTCTTCTCGAATGGAGAAGAGGACTAGCTGAACTCCAGGAGAATAACGATTTATTGATGACACCATTTGAGCGCAATTTGGAGGTTTGGAGGCAGTTGTGGAGAGTTATTGAGAGATCTGATCTTATTGTACAAATCGTCGACGCCAGAAACCCGCTCTTGTTTCGATCGGAGGATTTGGAAAGATATGTTAAAGATGTTGATAGCCGCAAAGAGAATCTCCTATTGGTGAACAAGGCCGATATGTTGACTTTGGAGCAAAGACAACACTGGGCTGACTACTTTGAGGCCGCCGGTATCAAATACAAGTTCTTCTCGGCAGCTTTGGCAAAAGAACTAAATGAAGCGATGTTAGAGGAGACTGAAGAAGAAACGGAGGCTTCTGTATCTGCATCAAAGCTAGCAGAGAAGGCGAGAGCACTTGGGCTTGACGACGATGATGAAGACGATGATGATAGTGAAGCGGATAGCGACGAGCAAGATGAAGAGGCATCTGTTAAGGAAGTTGATGAGGAAAGCGACGAGGAAATCACTGAAACCGAAAGTACCAGAATCTTGACTGTAGATGAGTTGGAGGCTCTTTTCTTGGTTCATGCGCCTGACGTTCAAGGTAAAGATTGTCACATTCATGAAACTAAATGTAAAGCTAACAAATATAGATTCTGAGTCAGGAACTACTAGAAAGACTCAAATTGGTCTCGTCGGATACCCTAACGTTGGTAAATCTTCCACCATTAACGCCTTGATTGGTGCCAAGAAGGTATCTGTATCATCGACACCAGGAAAAACGAAGCATTTCCAAACCATCCATCTTAGTGACAAAGTTCTACTTTGCGATTGTCCTGGTTTGGTCTTCCCAAATTTCGCTACCACCAAAGCAGAACTTGTGTGCAACGGTATTCTACCTATTGATCAACTTAGAGAATTCGTGGGTCCAGCTGGTTTAGTAGCACATCGCATCCCCCAAGGATTCTTAGAAGCATTGTATGGAATGAAAATCGTGACCCGACCTTTGGAGGAAGGAGGAACCGGTATACCAACAGCTGAAGAGATGTTAACAGCATATGCTAGAGCAAGAGGCTTCAGAAGAACAGGACAAGGTCAGCCGGATGAGTCAAGAGCTGCTAGACACATTCTTAAGGATTACGTTAATGGAAAGCTGCTATTTTGTCAGCCTCCTCCATTGGACATTGATCCTTTTGAGTTTAATAGAGAGCTGTATGACGAAGGTCATCTACCAGAGAAGAGACGACAGGCTTTAGCATCTATGGCATCATCCGCCGATGATCAAGCTTCTGTTGCAGATTCCGATGTTATCGAAATGCCTCAAGGACCAAAGTCAAAGAACCTTGACAGTACTTTCTTTGCTCAGGGGCAAGGCAATTCAGCACATTTACGAATGCCTTTCAGTCACAAATACTCTGAGCAAGGAACCGCTAGCGGGAAACTACTCTCAGGGAGGAAACAGGCAACATTAATAGCTTTGGAGAAGGATGTGGATCCAAATGATATTAAGAAATTGACCAGCAAAAAGCATTTCAAGGGTAATAAACCAGGTGGAAAGGGCAAGAGACGAGCGAACTATTTTGCTGATTAAAGGTCTGATATCGGTCGGATTTGGGTCATAGAAAGAAAGGATACCTCAATAACGGTGGCGGTTTGCATTTCTGAATGGAGTCAAGGTAGTGATTAAATAGAAATTGAATATCACCTCGGTCAACGAGTTGAAACCTTACCATATGGATCGATTTCTCGTACCATTCGTTTCAGATCATCATGCACAGTGCATCCTATAGGATTCGATGAAGAACGTTCCTGGCCCCCACACCGTGAATTGCCTCGGTATAGGACAATTGGCCGAGCCGAACTTGTGTGGAGAAGTTTGGGGTAACCAGAGCTAAGAATACATTAAAACAGCGAAGAGGAGCTCAATGCTTATATTAATCTTCCATTCAATTAAATATTTGTGAATAAGAAGTTTTGTTCATTACACAATCGTTGCTATATTTTCACATTACTTTGAGTTTTGACACGACTTTGTACACGTTTCTCCAGATCCCCTTAAAATATCACCACCCATCATGTCCGACAAGATCCCTATTCTCGTAGGAGCTATTCTTCTGATCACGCCTCCTCAAATACTAATTATTATTTTCTTCTAGGCCGCTAATCGTGTGAGTGATCATGCAAAGAAAACACTTGATCTTGTCACAAAATTTGTCGAAGAGAGATGTATACCGTATGTTTGCCACGATACCATTTGATTTCATGTTCTTCACCGCACAAGACCATCACTAAAAATTCACAGCGCCGACCCTATATTCCACGCTCAACTCGGCGAAGGTACTCAGAGATGGGATGCCTATCCTTCAGTCATCGAAGACCTTAAGAAAGAGGCACAAAGTCTCGGATTATGGAACTTGTTCCTCGCAAAATCACATTACAAAGAAGGGGCCGGATTCTCGAATCTCGAATATGGATTGATGGCAGAACAATTGGGGAAATCACATTTGGCATCTGAAGCTACGAATTGTGCGGCGCCAGATACCGGAAATATGGAGGTGTTGGCGAAATATGGAAATGAGGAACAGAAGAGACAGTGGCTAGCTCCATTGCTGAGCGGTAAGATTCGTTCAGCTTTCTTGATGACGGAACCGGATATCGCAAGTTCGGATGCTACGAATATTCAAATGGATATGAGAAGGGATGGGGATCATTGGATTTTGAATGGCTCGGTGGGTTGGAGCATCTTTAATTTTGTCCAGGGGCAAAACAGCTAATCTATTCTATAGAAATGGTGGTCGAGTGGCGCTGGTGATCCACGATGCAAAGTTTATATTGTTATGGCTAAGAGTGATCCTAACAATCCGGATCAATACAAGCAACAATCTGTTATCTTGGTACCAGCCGATGCCCCCGGTATCACTATCAACAGAATGCTGTCAGTCTACGGTTTTGATGATGCGCCTCACGGACATGGTCATTTGACATTCAAGAATGTTAGAGTGCCAGCAAGAAATATGGTACTTGGCCCCGGACGCGGATTCGAGATTATTCAAGGTCGTCTCGGTCCCGGACGTATTCATCATTGTATGAGATCTATTGGTGCTGTAAGTTACAATGATATCTACATCCACCAAAATATTCCAAAACTAATCATTTTGTAGGCCGAGAAAGCTCTTGATTGGATGCTCATGCGTATCAATGATCCTAAAAAGACACCTTTCAAGAAACAGTTGAAAGAACATGGTGTGATCCTCGAATGGGTAGCAAGATCAAGAATTGAAATTGACGCGGCCCGTTTAGTTGTACTCAATGCTGCTATTAAGATAGATGAAGGTGGTGCAAAGAGTGCGTTGAAGGAGATTGGTGAGGCAAAGGTACTCGTACCAACTATGGCATTGACTGTCATTGATCGTGCCGTGCAATCGTTTGGAGGAGCTGGTGTTTGTCAAGATACCCCCCTCGCATCCATGTGGGCAGGTATCAGAACATTGAGGTTGGCCGATGGACCAGATGAGGTACATCTACAGCAATTGGGCAGAAATGAAAACAAAAGAGGAGCTGAGGTGACTCAGAAGATTCACAGACAAATGGAAGCTACGGAAGCTCTGTTTGCTAAGTACAGAGTCAAGCATGTAGAGCCAGGGCCAACTGTTCGGGAGAAATCTAAGTTGTAGGTAAGATAGGAATAGGGATTTAGTGTGTTTATGCGTACAAGGGAATGAAGACCGAATTTTCACATGATCTACTCCATTGAAGTATAATATAGTTTTAAAGGTTTATAAATTCATGCCATCACGAGCATAATAAATGTATAAGATTGATGATATGAACATAACGACTGAATAAATCAAAACAAACAAAACAATCCAATCAAGCGTTCCCATTTTTACGTCAGCAATGATTGAGTTTCAATACATGCTTTTTACGGCTTGGGCTTGGGCTTGGATCCAACTTGGTAACTTGGAGGGGAAAGTGGATCAACGGAAGAAATATGCTCATCGTTACCCAGACAACAAGCGTAAATAATTCCAAAGGAAGATCATAAATTTTCGATTTCGCTACAACTGAAGGACAAATACGAGTACATAAAAACACATAAAGTCCTCACTTCTACAATATCTGATTTCATTCACAATCACAAGAACTTTCAAGAAGACTTACAATAAAACACTTCTTTACTACAATTAAACAACAATCAATACATTCACAAGAACATATACAATGTCTTCCACAAACGTTCTCTCAAACAAAGACGTCAACATCTCAGCTATGAATCAAATCAACAGTGTGGTTGATGAGAAGAAGACACCAATTGGTGCTGACCCTCATTCTATGGAATATCATCGTCAAGTTTTGCAGAACAAGATGCAACAGAATGGGTATGTTCTTCCCTTTTTTGGTTACTTCTGCCTACACAATTCAGCAATCTTGAGCTTCGCCATCCCTTCACCTGATATCCATCCCCAGATAATATTGGGATAAAGGAGCATTCACTAATTGATTTTAAACTATAGGGGTCAAGAGGAGAAATATATCTCCCCATCGGATACCATCCAATCACCAACTACTGCCAAATTGTCGGCTTATCGCAACAAACAAGTTGGAAAGTGAGTACTATCTTCCGCTATTCCTTTCATCACAAACCATGGAGGCATTCGCACAGCCTCGGGCAATCTTGCCATCGCTAAATTGCACACAAAATGCTCCAAGAGACAATTACTAACAGCAACCCTCCAGGAATACCAAACCTCGCTCTCTCTTCGCAAAAACCTCTGCCAAAAAACTTGCCGCAAATGGTCCACTTTTCGGCAAAGACATCTCAAGTCCAAAGCAAACCACAAACGATAATGCCGGCGACGCTATGCAAGAATAGATTTCTCATTCTCTATATATGAGATGGGATTAGTTTTTGTATTTTGCACGGTAGCGGTTCCAATAGAAAGGCGTATAAGTATCACGCGCTTTCGGATTGTTTTTGGTTTTTGACTTTGGTTCTGGTTTTGGTTATTTTCGGTCGGCAAGTCATTGGACAATGATACACATATTATCAAGTGAAGGGTATTGTGACAAATTGGTTTATTGTTAGGCAGGGGTTTGGATGGAGAAATAAGGAAAGGAAAGAAGAAATTTTATGATTGTGTATTTCTACTGCGTCTCCACATCTACGGATGTTGTGGAGGGTAGGGTGGTTTGGGGCACCGCGTGATGGACCTGGATATCACGTTCATGCGAGGGACGCGTGAAAATGGTACGCTTCCTAGCTAGGAATCTAAAGTACTGGCTGAGTTGGGAATATCATGGCTCAACTGTCTTCGTACGTCTGGTATCGATCATGAGGCGTTTTGGGATACTATTTCCTTTCTTCCCTTTCAATGGTTGTATTATTTCTTCGGTGGGGCGGATATCAAAAGGCTCTTGATAACCTAGTTCAGATTAGATGGGTTAATTTTGAGAATTTTCTCTTTCTTTACTTTACATTTGAACATCTTGTATACAATACAACCTTGCTATCGTGATGGTTTTGTATGATGTGCATATCAATGACATGCTTAATTCGCTTCACTTGGACTGGCTAGCTCACTGTACGAGATGCCTACAGTAAAAGGGTGCGAATTAAATGTCATCGTATGAAATGCACTTCCCTTGAGTTTTCTTCTGTGATCTTGTTTGAGACCTCTTTGTAGGAGGGTTTTGAAAGAACGAAGGAAGAGGTGTCATATACCTGACTCAAGTCGGTTCACTGGGGAGAATAGATTTAAGGCCGGGGCTTGAGGGCCGGAATAGGAGTGATGTTAAGTTGGGTTAGAGTACGCTGTGTGCTATGCGCTGTGTTTCTGTGCTACATGAGAAAAGGGAAATGGGAAAATTCTTCAAGTGATTTTGGGCACGATACTCTGGTCTCTAGCTTTGGAATGTCAAAGTGCTTATGCACTCGTCGGAATCAACGGGCACAACGTATCACACTGTCAACATCAAGAATATCATCTATCAATAACCATATCCATAAATCTTTCATTAAAAATCGTTATACTAAATTTCCTTTGGAATCCCCGCAGTGAACAGAACAAACTCCCGAAACAAAGTAGTACTCCAAGACGCATGTCCGACACCCGTTAAAACTTTTCTCGGGCCAAAAAGGCCATCCTCATTGTCATTATAAAACATTAGGCTAGGGCAGCTAAAAAAGATTGATTTCCTTCAAAAGGGTGCTGGCGGGTAAAAAGGTGCACCGGCATAATCGAAACCTGTTTCGAGACCATTTTGAGGGTAAGGTTCTGCGGTATGTCAGTTCACGTTGCTTTTGAGCCAAAACCATGATTGATGAAACGAGAAACATAAAGCGAGAGATAGTGGCATCAATCAATGAGCAAAAAACAAGATATGAAAGTGATATTAATAACTTACCCCAGAAAATTGAATCGAATAAATCCATCGGTGACATATTCAACGTCTGTTCTACAGATTGCATATCACCACTCACATTATTCATCGGCATTTGTTGCGCGTAGTCTATCCTGTGTGTCTGTTAGTCAACAAGTATGGATAAAGTAATCGGAAAATAGCAAACATACGGTGGTACTATCCCATTTTGCATAGAAGCCATAGCAAGTGCAGCATTTTGTTGTTCATATTCACTTGTCGATTTGAAGTCTGGGCCTTGGATTATCTGAGCTTCCGGGGCCATAGCCGCTTGTTGTTGAATTTGTTGTTGTTCAACCACCCATCCATGATCATATATATTTTTCAGAGCAGCCAAAGCCCTTGACAGAGGTCCGCTGAGTTCAATATCCTTATCTGATTTGGGAATGGTGGATGGTTGTTCTTTTGCTGCAGTAACCGACAGAGCACTTATTAGATCTCCTTGTAGCTGTCGAACTTCCGGATCTGTTTTAGTTTCACCCAAGATCCCCAGGAGAACTGCGGACGAGAGGCCATGGTAGGTAAATGCCCATGAGCGTGTGGGTATAACGCTCAATGAGTGCATTTTCAAGTACATTCTAACAGTCTCCGTGAGATTTTGCTTACACTTTTCTGCGATGATTGCCTTCTGGTCGGAAGACATCCCATTTTCACCGCGTCGAAGAGCGGGTCGGCATAACACTGAGACAACGAAAGATGTGTGAAGACGAAGCGCGAAGTATTGTAATCTATCTTGAACTGTCCTGCATTTATCTTTAATGCGGAGTGCTGGGAGAACTCTTTGACGAATGTTCTCAACGTCGACTGAATTGGCGATGATTTGATTATAATCGGGCTCAGATACCGAATCATTTTTGACGAAATCCAATACTCTTTGGCATAGATGATACATGGCTTCTGTGTAGGTGAACCCCTCCGTCAAAGCAATGGGGCTTAGAGGGACTTTACATCTCGTGATCACAGCGATTGGAGATCGGTCAAATGACAGTGAGAGTAAACTATCTTGCCAAACGATTGTCCACCTTGAACCCGTTAGATTAATAGAGAAACACGACAGTGAGTGAGTGAGCATACCATAGTTTACGACGAGGTAAGTCATTCTCCTCAGAAGAAGTGAATCTACCGCTCTCATTAGGACCTCTATGAAGGCCCAGAGCTTGAGCAAGTCTACAAGTAAGACCGATCAATGCCCAAGAAGCCTCAGCTTTCATATCATTGGCTAGAACAAATCCAAGGATTAAGAGTGCTTGCAATGAATCCAATGATGGGCGAATCAAGAAATTAGATAGCCTTAGGCAATGGAATGATGTTTGAACTGTATTTGAAATTAGTCTCCTTTCATATTCAAAAATAAAAGTATTCAGCTTACCAAAAGATTGTGAGGCTGCTACACGTCTGTGATATGTAGTTTCGGCGTAATTTGATGATACAGCAAGGACCGCGAACAGCATCCCAAGCCAAGCTGACGATACTCCCTTCTGATTCGGATTCCTACTCTTTGCAGAACTAGCGCGATCTTCCAGGTATATGCACAACTTCGTCTCAAAGTCATCAATATCAATCAGCAGGCCCCAAAATGGTTGAACTATCTGTTTGTAAATTTGGAATGATCTATGGAAATGTTAGCTGTGATTACAACTTGTTTACATCTTCCATGCTACTGACTTTAAGACATCTTTGTCCGACGGCAATGCCATAGCAATGTCATGTCTTATTTTGTCCATGTGTTCTTTCGACATGAACGGGTACGGAGCCGTTGATATTTGTAAACCTAGTATAGGCATAATGTCTTTCCGAATGACATCGTGTTCACCTTCGCCCGGTGATGATCCAATCTGAGCCTCTTCACTCAAAAAAGCTGCGATTGAATTCTGCCCAAGATATCGTGATTCGTTTGGATCATCTTCTTCTGTGGTGATATTAACTTCAAATTTCAATCGGTCTCACAATTATTTGGTATTATAAACACTTGGCCCCGACTCAGGGGGTATAGATGGCATAGCTTCAAATAACGAACACATTTGTCGGTATTTGAACTTCTTGGCAAAGCTGATATGAATTTGAATTTACCTGTTGTTCTTGGCCAGCCGTCTTCCTTTCTACCAGAGTAATCACTGGCACTATCTGGGGTACGAGCTCTTTTAACTCCAGCTATTGAAGCCGTCGGTATCGCCTTTCCGAGATCCCGATTCTTAGGATTGTACGAACACAAGAGAGCGTGATCTCTCTTCACACAATTCTCACATGGGTGTTTATTATCACATTTGACCTTGCGTTGCCTGCAAGGCCAGCAAGCGGTCCCTAAGACTTGTTTAGCAAGCTGCCTATGAAGGATTCTTGACTTGCCACTATCCAGCCAAGAATGGGAAAATGATCCATCATACCATATCGAACTTTACGATGTGAGTGTATGATCCTATTGGCCTCATCAGGAGTGATGGAGGCTCCGATTGGTTCTGATGGTCCTTCACTCATGGTCGTCGTGAAACAATTCCATTCAATTCATGAAAGTAAGGTTGGGAATGCCGAGGGAATTCCGGAAAGTGCTTATCTTACTCACTCAACTCCACAGCTAGGTGATATTTGGCTTAGCTTAGCACGTGATAGATCGCTTGGTATTGACTTGGCAATGTAACACAATGAAGGGGAAATTAAAAAGACGTTGAGCTCCTCGGAAAAAAATTCAGGTAAATAGGGATAAAACGATCAGAAGGATGCAGAGACATGATAAGTCATACGAATATGAATGATTATGCAATCAAATTTATGAAAATTCTCTCTAGATCGCTCAATATACCTATCATCAGCAATCATTCAAACATAGCCGCATAACCAGGATCCTTACATAGATTAAACTCCGAACGACGGATTCATGTCGGGATATGATCTTTACGCTTCTCCCGCTCTCTGAATGTTCTCGATGATTGGATAGCTGAGAGTCGTTGGTCAGCCCTATGATGTTAAGTGACTTAGGTTGCATCTACATCAGGAGCAAAAGTGGTTCCTCAAAAACATCTGATATGATGATACTCGAATAGAGATTTCCAATAGGGTGGTGTTCAACATCATGTTTTCGTTTGTGATTTCAATTTCAACACATATTCTTCGTTCTAATCACCCAATTGGCATGAGCCTTCAGCTCACACCTATAATTTCAGTCTCTCCAACCTCAAAAAGCTTGAGGTTATCTGTCAATTGCCTACTCACTCGAGTCACTACAGTATCCCCCCTTACAGGCCGATACTATACTTATGCACGGTAACACTTCAATACCTGAATGGTGAAATTCACGGTGGGTATATGCGTCGATTTGGTCTAGCTCGTCACCCATATATAGATTAGTTCGAAGCTACTATTAAATCCGATTTCCACAAGAACTTGAATCAAGCTTTTGAGTTTATGCAACTACCTAGGTAGCGCTGCCTCGAAAAGTCTCGTCCGCCATGCATTTCTACACCTTCTTGCATTAAATACTCTTTGAGATTGTTGCAAACTTCTGAAAAGGTGCCAGTGGTTCGAAGACACATACTTCCGCCAGTTTTTCCAAGAATCCAAAACCATGCATCATTGCTGGGATGATCGGCTTTTAGTCAACTATCAATGCATTTCCCTGCACCCGTTCTGGAAACTGCTCTAAAACTTCAAACTTAGGTCAACGTACACATACAGCCTGCAGAGGCTTTCAATGCTTTTGTATAGAACTATTCTATGGTGGTTGTAAAGGATATTACTCTTTTCGGGGCATTCGCAGTCATCCAGAACTCTCTGAAATGAGAAAAATAATGATTCAAAGGGTCACTTTGGAGATTCAGCTGAAAATCATTCCCGTATTTCAATGTATACGAAGTGGAGTTAAATTTTAGCTGATGGCTAATATTTTTTCGGCCGAACGATTCCAATCAGACCCTAACTGCATTGGTTTAATGCGCAATTTTTTGTTCGCGGTTGATGAATGCGATAGATGCTTCGCAAAGTCAAAGTGTCAACCCATTTCTTCCCGAAAGCTCTGGGCTTTTTTTGACCTCTGGTCACACCTCTGGTCACACCTCTAGTCAACAACTCAAGTTTTCAAAATCAAAACCATTCAGATATGCACCAAAATATTTCACGTACGTCATTCTGTGATGACAAAGCCTTGATTGTTGAAAACAGTAGTTTGGCTCTGGGCCAACTTCGGTCTGGAGGTGGGAAGTCTCAGCCAGCCAGCTAAGGCTGATATACAAGATATTCAATATCAGTGGTGTTTTACTTGTTAATCACATTATCACCATTTTATTGCATTGGAGTGTATCTAGAAGTAATGTAAAAGATATCAGGCCTCAACAATCACAATTGGATCTCAAATAGGATATCGCAATTATGAATCCAATATACAAAATGTTGAATCCATTCAAAGAGTTCTCATGACACTGTCTACCTTGTTCAATCAAAGATTCACACATTGGATATAGTCCCCTAATTGTGTACTTCTCTCTTAGACTCCTATTTAAAGCCTCCTTCTTCCTGGATCCTTCTTCATTCAGCAGACACCAGACATCAAAAGAACTCCATTTCAACATTCCCAGATAAATACATACGAACCAATAAATAAGACACCGATTATCAGTTGCCATGTCTTCCAGAGACATTTACGACAAGGCAACAGTCTATAATCCTGTAGACACTCGCACCAAACCCCCTCAAAACAGCAACACTTCCAACAAGCTTCCTTCCTCTCACTCCAAAGTTCCTTGCCCCAATCGACAATCCTCTTCCGCTGCCCCAAAAGCATACACTACACTCGAAAGAGACAATAAATCGACAAAAAGAGGTTTGTCTCAACAGCACACTTTACTTCAAAGAGATGGACAGGCTTCTTCTTCCCGTGGACACATTTCAGGTTCTCATGATCGAACTCAGCTCAACAGAGACCAACAATCATCATCAAGCTCAAGACAGCCAAGCATGATGCGCGCAGCAACAACTGCTCCTCCGGATGCGAAGAGCAAGTTTAAGTCTCAGCATGATGTCAAAATGGCCTCTCAACAAGTCAGATACCAGGAGATGACTTACGAAGAGAAGAAGAAACAGGACGAGTGGGTCCGTAATTTCATTGTCTATGCCGGGCCATGCCCTGCTGGGTTCGGCTGGGAGCGAGTCAAGTATGGATATGTCTGCAATGGTGGGAATCACTTGTGTACCGATGATCTTTTGGCTGAAGGCAAAGGCGGCTTTTATAGCGGAACCCTTGACGCTGGATGGTGGGGTCCAGTCTATGACCCAGATCGGCGCTTACTATTAGATTATGCAGACGTCATAGTATGGGAGTACGCCAATAAACACGGGTTAAACCCAACAGTGGCTCCAATAGTCCCACCGCCTAGTATACTAGCAACTCATGAAGTTCACCCAGGAATTGCAAAAGCAATGGCAGGCCAAGGACCCATGCCACATGCTTGCTCAGTTGAACATGTCATTGAGAACTTCAAGCGAGTAGGTGAATTTGAGAGAATTATGGGAGTAGGAAACAACTCTAGGTCCTCTCATCATGTTTCCGCAGCATCAAGCCACCATTCGTCAAATGGCTATCGCTCATCCAGTGGACATCTCTCATCCAGCGGATATCACTCATCAGGAATGACACCTCAGCTCAGCACCCTCTATGGGCCAGGAGGTCTGCCGAATCGACTTGCAATGAGCACGAGCAATGGTTCTCTATCCCAAGGAGGTCGACTCCCACTCGTGCATCTACCAGCTGCTTATCGCAATGATCCATATGGACAGGGACTATTGGGACGCCGCGGACATTAAGCCTGAGAAAGTGGAGGAAGGAATCTGTATATTACGCTCTACTACGTTCTAGAGGATACTACATGATGACGATAATGATAATGATAATGCGTGACTTTGGATGAAGATATAGATATTAAATAGTTCAATGCGAGACGTTATATTAAGACAATGAACAATTTGAATATGCATGTGAAATATGAATACAACTGTGAATACCTATACAAAAAAATACTGGTCATCCACCTTCCATCTGATTCACGTTTACACAACCTATTCAGTTCCATTTTCAACTCTTGAAACGGAATTCCCTCTCCGGCCCCTAAACATCACCAGTGTGATCAAGGCAGTAATCCCAATTTCCAATCACCTTGAAAGTGTTATCGCCAATACTGGTAATTTGTATATTTTTATTTTCCATCGTGGCCATTTCATTCGAATGCAAGAGTGCATTTTGCTTACAAGGTGTGCTCATGTTATTACATTCGCGTGGGTCAGTTATGCACTCGATGATTCAGGTTGAAGCCGGCTCACTATGATCACGGGGGGAGGTCGTGATGACTTGAAAATTCGAATGAAAAGTGAATGTGAGAATGCGATTCAGCTTTGGCTTATACAACGAAGGAGAGATACCTGCGGTGCTGAAGTATTTTAGGGAGACGGATTGATAGGGAAGAGTATCCAGAGCGAACGCAAGAAGGATGAGGATGAAGGCATTCTATTCCAAATACAAAAGTAATTGGTCACTCAGTCGAACTTTGTAGGTAAATCAGATCACCATACTTATTTAGAGAAGGCCTTTCGATCTCGAGAAGACAAAGTACTCATATTGGAAAAAGAAGCTCAGACACGCTGCACGCAATTCTTCATACAGAAGTGGCGGAAGCTTGCTTGTGGGCGTCGATCATATACAAGCACCCACATCAAACCCAGGCTCCAAACATGACTCAAACATACAACAAGATTCGAAGACAGACGATATAAAGCTTGCGATCCGTGTATTCCATGAAAGCTTCCTTGCCTTCGACAAAGCGGCCCTAGGAACATGTGATGGTTGTGTAAAAGCCCAGGCTCAATACGCAGAGAGCCTGTTCAGACGAAGCCGATATTCCAACAACGAAATTTGACGGATTATGCTGCGTCAAGAGTTCCACCGGTTAAATCCGCTGCGATATAACCGACATAACCGATAAGAGTAATATTAAGGCCTCAAAATTGGCAAGAATAGGAAACAAGGCTTATACCCAAACGCTGGTGTGGAATTTCTGGTTGATGCAAACTATCCGCTAACGACTTTGAAAGCGATTCCTAGCCTTAACACGATCAGGAAGACCATGAGACTGCCAAGACGAGAAGATCTCTGGAATTCCAGATGATGAAGAGTAAGAAATTGAGTTGGCTGCCAATATTTCGATTCTGATTTGCCAGATTGTAGCGTTTCTCCACATCTTATCGACCTCACATGGTCTTCCGGAAGATTAGATTGATTTAAAAGTAGATGTTTCAATATCCCACCGACAGTAATAAGTGAGCAAAGCTTTAGTGGGCAAGAAATCGATGCACTTATTCAATTCGAAGCTGTAATGTAGGCCTCACACCCCTTGAGAAAGACTCAAATTGTCTACTCACTGCTTACGAAGATACTTCTGATAATCACACTAGAGTGATTGGAAATGCAAAAGATTATTTTATCCGCCGTTTGTTCTCGGTGTCGATTAGTATGAGTATAGTAGAAAGTAGCCCCTCGATTTATTCACGGCATTGGTGACCTCGGGATACGCTTTTGGGCAAGTCTGCTTCTTACATTAGCTTTTCGATCTACAACACCCCGCCTGCTGCCCTGCCTGACGCAATCTTCAGTGGATACTACACACCTCAACTTGATCACTGACTCAGGAGATCTTGATATCGAAATGTACGGCGAGTCCCGACCATTGATTTGATCAAGTACACCTTCATCAATTAATGATTTGATCACCCATTAGTTTTTTCCTCTTGGTCTCCTGCCATATGCGTGTCATGTATATCTAGGTATGATAACATCTTCAAGCACATGTATGCATGTGTTGCCAGAAGAGGTAAACCGCCTAATCCCAAATAAGCAGCTTTAACAAAATCCGCGTTTGGGATTGGGACTTATGCACCTGCCCAATCTGCTGCAATTCCATGGCAATCACTATTACTGGTAGCTTTAGGAAGTCTACTGCCGGAGTACGTTACCAAACTTTGGCAGAGCAAGAACATTATTTCTGCTCATGGTAATTATGATCACAACAAGTACCGGATTTCCTAGTGCAATTTATAAGCATTTCTTCATGATAGTGGAAACGATTAAGACGAGACCAGATCCTATGGCTGTGAACATGAGGAACATCAAGGTGATACTGGATAAAACGAACTTTTAATGCTATATTGTAAGCCGGATCTAAGACAACACAGAAAGGAAGTTAAAGTGCATGCCATCTGCCCTCATATTAGACTTCGAAATCGTACTGGTTATATGGAATGTTGCGTGCTCCTCCCTATGTCGTCGTTCTTGTCACCTATCTATTTGGGTTTCAGATCCTGGTGGTCCTGAGCATGGGATTTGGATATGAAAAATTCGCTGTTTCGATGTCGTAAATGAACTCAATACCATAAAAACAATCTTCGCCTTGGGTGTGATGATCGGAGGATGGTCAGCGGAGGGTCAACGGAGATTGATATTTATCTCCGTTCAAACAAAGTTACCTCAATTTGATAGGTTGAATCATTTAGTCGTTCCTGATTGCCATCACGTGAAGCCCCGGCTGTCTTCCGCCCGCCAGTCAATCAGTCCGCCAATTAATCTGTTCTCTATTTTCTGTTATCCATCTCCCTTTTTGAAAATTGCCCGGTATATTATTAGTGATATATTGTTAGTGATAGACTAATACTGCTTAAGTATTATGGCCGACCTTGTACCCGCAACTGCATCAGAATTGTCAGACACTGTATCACAATCTTTCCCCCCCAAAGACAATATAGAGGATAATTCACGGGAAAAGAAGGTTGTACCCAAAGCAAGTCGGCAAAGATTCAAGCCACAATTGTCATGCACCTTTTGTAGAACTCGAAAGTATGCGAATGAAATCCGATCTACCCTTTATTGACCTTACACTGACCCAACCAGGTTAAAATGCGACCGCAATTCCCCATGCAACAATTGCTCCAAGAGAAACTTATCTCCATCATGCACATATATCCACAATTCACGTGCGAAGACATCTCATGCCCAGAGAACCAGAGAGAAACCAAAAGATGTTCAAGACCGAATCCAACAACTAGAGGAGCTAGTCGTGATTTTGATGAATCAAGCCAAAGACACAACAGCGCCGCCGAAACCAACCATCTCACCTGGCTCTCGAAGCTCTACGATCAAGCCCCGAGAACTTTCATGGCCAGATGATGCTACGATATCTGAAAGTGCGGATTCCATCGGACGCATATCTGTCGAAGATGAGGTGCAAAATTATGTCGGCGGAGCCCATTGGGCGGCAATACTCGAGAATGTATGTATTCCTCTTCGTATGAGCCGATGAGTATCTAACAGTGCTGTAGATAGCCGGCTTGAAGGAATCATTGGGATCTGAGGAATGGCCACAGGGAATAGCTAGTGGAAAGAATACTTATGAAGGGCCTGAGCTACTTCTTGGAGACAACAGAAAGTCCTCAAGGGAATCTATTCTTGCTTGTCTGCCGTCGAAACCTCTAGTTGATAATTTGGTCGATCGCTACTTCACTGCGATTGACGCTTCCTGTAAAATATCATATTCTGTGGAAATGGGATTGAACGCTAACGAGCATATAGTTATCACTCATGTGCCGACGTTCAAAAAGGAGGTGAGAACTTTCCCTAATATAAAAATCGGCTCATTCTTTAACCCCTTTGTAGTATGCTGAGTTTTGGGATAATCCCAACTCAAAATCTATTTCCTGGATTGGATTACTATTTTCTATAATATGCCTCGCCACGAATTTTGAACTAAGAGCAGGAGATTTCCCGATCACAGCTCTATCAGACTCGGCAATACGAGACACAGAACAGCGGACCAGATTATATCGTGAGAAAACTGTACAGTGCCTCATAAGTAGTAACTACACGGAACCAGGACTGTACACTGTCGACACTCTTTTACTTTATTATCTCAGTGAGTATTGCGAAAGCAAGGATACACTATTTGGGTCTTGGATGGTTTTTGGGATGGTTGTCCGTGCAGCGATGCGGATGGGTATGCACCGAGATGCCTCTCATTATCCCAATATATCAGTTTTCCGCGGTGAGATGCAACGTCGAGTATGGGGTGCAATATTACTTGTTGATATTCAGACTTCATGTCAAGTCGGACTTCCTCGAATGATAAGCGAAGGGACGTATGATACAAAGCCCCCCAATCACCTCCTAGACGAAGATCTTCATGAAAATATGGTTGCATTACCGCCCATCAGATTGGAGTATGAATCATCACCTATAAGCCACGCACTCTCTAAATATCGCCTTCTTTTGATATTTGGTAAAATATTTGACACGTCGAATCTTGTCACTCCCATCTCTAATGATGAAGTCATGAGACTGGAAAAATTGCTCTTTGAAGCTCTTGGAGAGATCCCGGATTTTTTTCGAGTCAGATCCATCCACGATCTCGAAAACGGTTCTCTTATGTTCAGAGTAAGGAAGTTCTCGATTGAAATGACTTATCTTAAAGCACGTTGTTTTCTTCATCGTAAATTTCTCTCGGAAGCCGAATCATTGCAGAAGCACTCTTACTCTGTTAAAGCGTGCGTCGATTCTTCAATGCTGATTCTACAATATCAAAATTATATGACAACCGAGACAGCCCAGGGTTCTTCTTTACACGGCATGGGCATGAGATGGATTACATCTTCTTTAATGACTTACGATTTCCTCTTAGCTGCAACACTTCTTTGTCTTTATCTTGGGCAGTTGATGGCTGCCGAAGAAAAATCTATGGATATCAACCTTCAGGATTTTCCAATCGACTGGACTATAAAAGATATTTCGCACGCTTTATCCAACTCTTACCGAATATGGAACAATCCCGAGATTGCATCGGAAGACACCATGAAATTTTCGAAGGTACTGAAGGCCATGGTAAACAAAGTTGATCACTGGTCTACCGTAAAAAAAACCCAAAGAGAGGTTGCAAAGGACATGACGAATGAATTTAACCCAAATACCTTACCCTCTAAGCATCACGAGGTTCTTTCCACTTCCGTTCCGCGCCAAAGCTATCCCATAAATTATTCTACTCCAAACATGTATTCCTTGCAATCAAACAGCTTCGAGGAAACCCCAAGTGAGTCTTCCACACCAAATATTGGTATGATAGGAGACATTTTGAATGATCCAACCGGTCTCGATTGGGTAAGTGATTATTTATCTCTCACTGAATACATACTAATCCAGAAACGCAGAGTCTTTGGGATAGCAATTTCCAAGGTAATAGCAATTATATTGATCCAGGAGCTTCGTTGTGTTCTTCCGATCCGTACTTTCCTTTTCAGGCAGCTGGATTTGAGTCCAATCTGGACGGCAGTTGATGATCACTAATTAACCCCCAAGATTGGTTGATTACCAATGCATGGCTTGTCCAAAGCTTATTTATAGGTCGCAGCCAGAGAATAGGCTTCCCAAGAAAGCTTAAAGGTTTCCAATGCAACGTGAGTGGGGAAATTTATTATTGGTTGGATGCCCCAGTTTGGCATTCGCTTATTGCATAGTCTGGGGCAAGAGAACGAATAACTGAAAGACTAGTAAGTTAAATTCTACCGGTTCCCACACCACCATTCTAATAAAATTGTTTTTAACAGACTGGACCTCAACGACCTCCGGAGCGATGATGTATGACAAGTGCGATTAGTTGTACACGAATCGCTAAGTACTGAAGCGGCAGGTAGATGACCGGTTGATTGTTGAAGACTGCTCGAAATAGTCAGGTGGTCTTTTGCGATAGTAGCTCTAGAATTAAGAAGGTCTGAACTGCTGATAACGGACTTGATGCAGATCATCCAGAGCTCATCGTCTCCTTCAAGTGACTGGAGACCCATCAAATGGCTTATTGTGCAACATTGACGCAATGCGATGTTGGTCATGCCCAAAGTTCTCAGAATTTTCACATGGTATAACTCTATATTTAAGCATACTCATGGGTTCTAGATGTAGTCTCGATTTACATGGTTGAAACCGTGAGGAAAACTAGTAATTTGTCTTGCCTTGCCCCGCATCAAACGCGTGTCCATCGTGATAGCACAGAAATTGTGCCTCATTTTCCCCCCAAAAAATACCGAATCTTGCCAATCTATCACCGATCTATGACCGAGAACGAGGTCAAACCTCACTGAAGTGATGCCGTCGTTGTATAGAAAACATTGCCAAGAAACCGCCAGCCCTCCTTAGAATGTGTACCTTGACCTAAATGGTGCTCTACCCCGTATCACCAGCGTCGGAGCAGTGAAATGACGATACGTGAGGGAGAATCGAGAGAATCTGGATTAGAAGCAGGTGCGCTTGCTGGAGAGATAAAAAGGTATGTGTCCGGATCGCTTTGCACAGTTTGATTTGAAGTAGACTCAATTTTCCTTCTCAAAACAATTCTTTCAGCTTTCATAGCGAAGATCTTTCAAACATGCATTTCATCAATGGCCACACGACTCTGCTGATCATCTTGTTTCTCAAACAAAGCATTCTGGCAGCACCAACTGGAGATCCGCTTCTTGGCTACAACCCTTCGAACGTTGTCATCAATCAAGATACCGACAATTTCGACTATGAACTTGCACCAGGCCAAACAGATCTAGCAACCGTAGGCGCCTATCTGGACTTCAGCACAATTGTGAACCCTCAACCTATCCGAGGTTCCAAAGGTGGCACTGACCCGGGTCCAAGAACTTCACCATACGATATCCTTAACCCTGATAAACTTGCACCTCCGGGCACCGACCATGGAAGCGTGAGCAATGCACAATGGCCCATGGGCCTCAGCCATGCGAAGCTAGGGCTCGACCACGGAGGATGGTCGAGACAGCAAAACGTTGACAATATACCTGTTGCCACAGAAATGGCAGGTGTAGATATGCGTTTGGAAGAGGGCGCTTACCGTGAATTACATTGGCATAAGGCGGCAGAGTGGGCTTACATCTTTAATGGGAGTGTGAGACTTCAAGCTGTTAATGATGAAGGTCAGACCTTTGTCGATGATTTGAGTGCGGGTGATGTTTGGTACTTCCCTCCGTAAGTGACTCAAGCCACCGTGTGCTCTACCTCATGTTATGCTCGCTTGAGGTGGGGCGTTACTTGGCGTGATATTTCAGCTTATGGTTTTACTGACGAACATCGTTTTAGAGGAGTGCCACACTCTCTGCAAGGATTGAAAGGTGGAGTTGAATTTCTCTTGGTCTTCGATGACGGAAGCTTCTCCGAAGACAATACCTTCTTGGCTTCAGAAGTCTTTGCACATAACCCAGTATGACAACCCCACAGTACCTATGATATCAAGAGCTAACATTATCAAGGTTGAGATCCTTTCCAAGAACTTCCAACTCCCCAAATCTGCCTGGTCCGACATCCCTTCTGGAGAACTCTTTATTTTCCCCGGCACAAACGCTCCTACCGATATAGCCGAACAGAACATCACCGGCTCAGCTGGTCTCGTGCCGAAAGAATTCTCCTACTCTTACCACCTCTCCAAAGCGCCTCTGACGCACGATACCCCCGGTGGAACCATCAAGATACTCGATCCAAAATCCTTTCCTCTCGCGGCTCAATTTTCTGCCGCAGTCGTAACTCTGCATCCTGGAGCTATGCGCGAAATCCACTGGCACACCACAAGCGATGAATGGAATTTTTTCATATCTGGCAGTGCGAGAATTAGTATATATGCAGCTCAGGGGCTAGCAAGAACGTTCGATTACCGTGCGGGTGATTGTGGATATATCCCCAAAGGAATGACGCATTATGTTGAGAACACTGGGAATGTTGATGTGATATTTATTGAAGTTTTGCAAGCAGACCATTTCTCAGGTGAGTTTTGTTTGTTGCTTATTGGTATGACTTGATGGGATGCTGATGTGTGATAGATATCTCGGTCGGCCAATGGGTTGGTTTGACTCCCAAGCAGATCGTAGCTGATACGCTCAATTTATCCAACGAAACCGTGTCGGCTTTCAAGAAAGAGAAGCAGTATATTGTGACAGGTGACGTCCCGGAGTGAATTGGCTCGTAGGCTTCTCGGTTTAAAACATGTCTTTCGTTTTTCTGTTTCCTTCATTCAAGTCTCCTTTTGCTCAATTTCAGTTGCTTTTCATTGAGTATACGTCTTCATGTATTGCCGCAAATAAGAGAAATTTTTAGTTCTCCCGCCACTGAAGGCACATGCAACCATTAAGATAGCTTTTCATCAATTCTATGATTTAATCTCTAAAAAGCTGCATGAATTCGAAAAATTATGAATTCTTTTGTAAGAAGAGGTACAAATATGGAGAAGTAGAATCTCCAACGGAGGTAGTAATTTCGCTATACATGACCTTCCTTGGCTGCAAGAAGGCTTGTAATACGAGGCTTTTCTTGGCAGCTCGCTTCTATGAGATCAACTGTTTTCCGAGTGGGGGTATGCACTGTGTAGATGTGATTGATGAATTTCAGTATCCCTTTATAGTAGTCCGTAAAGGATAAGACTGTATGCTAATTGTGAATTTCGTAAGTCTGCAGTGTGCAACATGGATCGATGATTGTATTATACGAGTTGTGCTTGTTGAAAGATACCCCATTTGACAAGTGGAATAATAGTGGCTATGATTGCTTTGATAAGGCTCGCTGATATTCTATCAAAATGACCCTGTTACTCAGGACTCTCAAGAAAGAATCACGAAACGAAACGTGCTGCAATAGAAAATTGTGTTGAACAACTTTGTCACGAGCTCATGCTATGTCAACAGGATTGAATTTCAAAACCGTCTTTTTTTCACGCTAGCAATCTCCAGAAGAGTGATCAATCAGACCTATTTATCTTCCCAAAAGTTCTTTTCCGCCTTTTCCTTTTCCTTTTCCTTTTCCCTTTTCTTCTTATCCGCCTCTTCCAAGAGTTCTTCAGCCTTCTCATCACTCTTTCTGCCTTCCAATTGTTGTTCAGATCGTTCCGTATCAGCGTCAGTTTGCTTGTTCATATTGTCCTCAACTTCCGTCTTATATTTCGCCTCCATCTTATCAATATCCTTCTGCGTCCAATGCTCTTCCTGTGCCTTTGCTCTTTCCCTTCTCAACTCCTGCTGGGTATTTAGTTGTTCCGCCTGAAGATTTGTAGTTGTTTCTGTTAGCTTTTTGACTCTTAAAGCAATCAATTTGCCTTCTCGAAGGGCAGCATCTTTGTCGTGTACAGTGAGAAGATGATCTACGATTGCACCCATGAATTCTTCATACGCATCGTCTTTGAATACTTGGTCGGCATAAACTTCAACGACATTCCGTACAAGCTCCATTCCCATTTGCTCGTCTAGTTGAAAAGCCGTGCCATAAAAAGGTCATGTTGAATGATAATACTCGCTTCGTAGTCTTTGAATATCAGCGCAATAGTTTTTGTACCTTTTGTATTGAAACGAGGATTCTCATTACCATCTGTTCCAACTGTCGTGATAGAAACTAGCAAAAACCCCTTCTGAGACGACATCGTAAAGGACTTGGGGCAAAGTAGCTCCCCGTTGGCAGCAGTGGGATGTTTTTTGTTAGTCACCTCTGCTACCTTATAGTCGATCCAGTCGGTATTTTGTTTGTTTTTGAAGTGAATTTTGATGCTGTCCAAGGATTGTTGCATTGATTTGTCGACAGTGTCATCGTTAAGAGAGCTTGAAGAATGTCCTAGCATGTCCCATGTGGTCTGAGAATTCTGGAAATGGAAAATAAGATGACAGGCTTTATCGTCATCCTCCTCCTCGAATTTTATGACATGACCCTCCTGTCGAAACCATTAGAACAAACTCATGTTACAGAGGCGAGGAAATCAAAGTAATGAACAACGCACATCCCAAACTTGGTTTCCGGTGATTCCAACAATTGGTACAGTGACCTGTAATTGATAGATGTCCTTTGGAATAGTTTTTGGTGTCCCTGGATGCTTTTCTTCAGAAATACTCGTGGTAATGGTACCATTCACCGTCAAAGTGAGAACAGCGATTGGGATATCCGCAGTAATGTTGAACTGCAACGAAGGAGCTCCGAGATCAACGACAAAATCCTGGTCAATTACAATAACATCATATGTATTGCGGATGCTGAATTGAATCTTGGTGAACTCCCCCTTCTTATCCCAAACTTTTGAAAGGGATCGATTGAGGGGATCTTGAGCATAAGCCACCATCATATCCCAACTGTCAGTGACATTTTGCTTGAGAGCATCGTGAAACTCTTCTGGTGTTACTATTGTGCCGTTCATGATTCTTGAAATTGAGTTATTTCAGAAATTGGTATTTGAAATGATTATAGTGAAGGAGTCGAGATGTAGATAGGATAACAAATGGTATGTATAATCGTCAAAGGAAGAAGATCTATATATGGTTCTTTTGGAAGATTGAATGCTCGATCTGAAGATTATCGTTCGGCTTTCACACTACTGACATGTCTGATCAATCTGAGACGTGTATCTCCAATACGAATTTTCACGACACTAATCAACGCCAAAAAAACTCCTTCATAGCTGCAAAGGATGACAGAGTCAGCATCGGCTGCAATGCTGTATCGCAAAGTTAGAAGATCGACAAATCAAAGTAGATAAGATCTGAATCTTCAGCTCGAGTTCGAAAAGGCAATCAACCGAAAATGAAATTGTGCATGATTTGACCATCAATGTTTTCAGTTACTTGGCTAGTTAAACCTTTCTTCTAGCTGTGAATGTGCAAGCAGGCTTGCAATTCATTACGGCATACATAAATGCAGGTAACATCGTAAGTCTCAATAAGCCGATGCATTGAATTGAGTCACAGTATTCATGTGATGCTTTCAGATGAGTTCCTGAATTCTGATGGATTAGGATATCAAGTTTTCCAAGAGATTTAGATGATTTCCGATACCTAGGTGTTCAAGCCATCCATATTTTCCCAACGACACTTCACCAACAGAAAATCATGCAAGACTCCAGCCATTCTCGATGACCTAATTTTGAGATATTACATTAGACCAGCGGCGTGAAGATTTGCAATCATTTGGACAATGCTGAAATGACACTTCCAATCTGCATGCGGGAAACAATGTTACACCTGCACTGGAGTTAAGAAAGAAGAGTGATGTCGAGTTGTAATTGTTACCAGAGACAAAAAAAGAAGCCAAAGAGCGGGCTGCATTTCCCCGTGCCTGCGCCATGAATACTTGTGACCAGCTGAAAGGGTATCCGCTTTCACTGTACAGCTTCATGCGCGATGCAACCAAAATGCGCGAGTCATTTGACTTGAAATTTGTTTCCTCCCAATGTTTGATTGTTTGCACAATTCATTCACTTTTGCCACTAAACAATGGCCCAGCATTATTAGTACCAGTAGGGACTTGCTGAATCAAGTTGAACTCTCGAGTTTTATCAACGTCACACAAACCCATTTCGTGAGAAATTAAATTTTTACCATGCCTATACCACCCAATCCAGACATCATTGCATATCCTGTGACAGACCCAACATTGATTGTGTCAGTTTCTGAGACACCTCTCGACTTTGAGGTGGGCTTAGATGCACCACTGGATCTCTACGTGGAGACGTTCGTGCTAAGAATTTTTTTACAAACCAAGAGTAAGAGCAACACCGAACCCGTCTGATGTGCAATATTCACTCATAAAATTGACACAACGGGTAATTCGAGATTGAGCATCGATCTCACTGGCGAAGATGGGACCAAGGATGAGATGAACGGATACCGGGGCGGCACCATCGAGTTATATGTGGAGCATATTGGTGCTAAGGATGTCGACTCTCTTTTATTAAAAGGTAATATGACGTTTCCAGCGATGTATTATTATGTTCACGTACACAGAGAATGCTAATGATTCTCGATTTATAGTTGCGGGGGGGATGGACTGAGTCATGATAGCGCCTTTGGAGCAGACACGGACACTGGTGGAGAAAATGATGGAGATGGCGGAGATGGCGGAGAAGGTGGGACTGTGTCAGTTCTGTTTGGCAGTATCGTCGGTGAAGCCTATCGTAAGGCCATTCAGGTCATTACCGACCTGTCTGTTTCGAGCAAAAAGTTTCCTTCTGACTTCCAGAGCATCACAAATGAGTTGGTAGAAGCTTGTGGCACGAAGGAAATGAAAAGGGCCTTCGACCTGTCCGAAAATTTTGCGAAAATGCAAAATGACCTTAAAAGCAGTGATAGGGATGACTTCCGAGATGACGTCATTGGCATCTTAAAGAACTTTTCGATAATCGATGATGATGTACTGGCATGATTCACACAATGCGAGAAAGTCACTGGAGGTCATGGTGGTAAAGCGAGATCAGGAGGTATGAACGGTAAGCCAGGTAAGGATGGAACCTGGTCAGTCAAGTCCATCTTGAACTCAGAAGCCATCTGGGATTGCTACATATGCTTCGTACACCCTCTACAATGTCGTATGCTGCTTGACAAAGCCAGATTATACTATTACGTCGACGGGGATGAAAATCGAGCGAAATGCATGATCATTTTGTGGCGTCTGCGAGATAGGTTGCTATTTTTAGATCACAGACCAAAAGATGTTGGTAATGAGCCGAAATTGATCACTGCATATAAGAAGGCTGAGCTTCGTATATTCATACCAAGAGCAGAGGAAGGCGCAGAGCTGGCTTCTATTTCGGATCTTCAAGCTATCAAAGATGAAGTCAATGGAGTACTGACACAGCTCAACTCTGGAAAAGACTACTATGGATACGATGAGTATGAAGCCCCTCCGAGACGGTACGAAGCCTACAGGAGCATTATATTCGACAGTTTAGAATCTCTAAAAGAAGCCGAGACGTACTATACCGAATACGTGAACCATTCGAAGAAAGAAGAAGAGAGGACATCGTACCTGAGCAGAGCTAAAGCTGCGTGCGACACAACTAAGGCCAGCAACAACAGGTTGATTAAACTTGCAAAAGAAGAGATGAAGGGCAGAATGGTCCAGATTAAAAGCTTTACAAATCCAATGAAGAAGATGAGTGGAGATCTGACGACCGAAGTCGGTTACATCAAAAGCGATATTAAAGGTCACAGTGGTGTTCTCTTTTCCGATTTGCTCCAGGCCCTTGGACAAGTCTTCATGGTGCAGACCATGCCCATGGCAGTCTTGCAGGGAGTTGGCCTACTGAATGAGAGCCAATCAAAAATACCGGATGAGATGGGTGTAGAGTATGATAAAACTTGGTTGTTAGATAATGTGTCAAATATCTCGGGAGAGCTTGATAGCATTTATGAAGGTTATGTTATCAGCAAAGTAGGGAAGATAGACCTACTTGATCCAGGAGCAGCGAAGCTACAGATTACAGCAAATAAATTGGTCACTCTGTTGAGTAACTATAACAATATTCTGAAAGACCAGACCGCGGAATTGAAGAAGATACTCCAGGATTATGTGGGTGCGTACCCAATTTAACAAGACTCCCAACTGCCCCAGCTAATATTGTGGAATTGAAAGATCTAGTTCTGAAAAGGAATGCGGCCGTTGTCCGATATAACAGCTGTCTAGCTGTGATAGTAAAATGCTATACGGAGAATCTAGCCCAGAATAAAGTGATCGAAAACCTTGCCAATGTTGAAAGGCAGACGGTTTTGACGATGGATAGTCCGACAATGACCGTTGCTATGAAGAAAATCTATGTAGCAGAGCTGCAGAAGATACAAGGTTGGCTGTACAAAGCCCAAAGAGCATACAATTTCGAGGCATTGAATTCAACAAATGTCCTTGGGCAATTCTTTTGCTCTGTTGACATGTCTCAATACACATACGGCCTTGTCAAGGCGGCTCATCAATCCTTGTTCCAAGCCTACAACGAATATTTGGATGAATATACCGGCTCCAGGCAGCCATTTTTCTCGCTACAATATATCCTCGGTGAAGATGACGTGCGTAGCATCAAGTTTGATTCTCAAGATAGCGCACTGTTGCATCTGAGAATTGCCCCACCTGACCCGGAGGACACCAATTCTCCATTTTCAAATATGGTCGACATCCGATTGACGAGAGTCCGTTTGTTTCTACCCAATGTTACTACTGATGATGGCAAGCTTCAAGTTTCCCTAACTCATCTGGGAGACGAAACATTGGTAGATACGAAGAACACTCAGATCACTTTTTCCCACAAGACATATCCTGTGAATTTTATTTACGACATTGCAACAAGCAAGCCCACAATAGACGGGGTTGTCGGCAATGTAGATGATCCAAAATGGTATGCTCTCCCAGGACCTTTCGCGACATGGGAAATCAACATTCCTAAAAATTGCAATCCGGGCTTGGTACTTACGGAGATTGAGAAGCCGTATCTAGAGTTTGATGGAGTCTATCGACCAATAACGCCAACAGAGTAGCGGGAAATACAATTCGTGTATTTAGTCTATAATTAATAAATGCCAACGATAAGCCTCACTCGAACCAGAGAGTAGAATAAAAGATATTTGATAAAGTAATAAGAAAGACATATCTTTCACTGCAATATGAAAGCTCAGAACTTCTTATGTGGGTCCCTAATCATACAAAATTTCTTAAAGTGGACGGTCTCGCTTTCCTGAGGACCATGGCGCGAAATAGGAGAAAAAACAGGGATTGATTTGAAGACCGAGAACTTTCTCGCGAGTTCGTAATTATGCCTTATTTCAACCCGGACCCGCCTAAGATCTCCAATGATAACGTGAGTGAAGCCAAATCAGCGGCCAAGCTGGGGAACAACTACGCAAGATATCATGTGTATATAACGAAGGAGAGAAGATATCACGATATTCTAGAAAAACTAATGATAAACATAGGTATGCTATTCAAATAAGCGAAGTAAAATCAGAGAAAGAAGAAGCGCATCGCAATCATTCATGAAAAACCCACCAGGCCTAGCCCAAAAAGAAAAAAGATTTAGCTACCAGTTATCATCATACATAGAACATAATTTTCCGAGTCATTCATTCCAGCTTGTTTCCAGCCTGAATGCCTACTGTACTCGTCAAACCAGACCAGGGTCTAACCTTTTTATGCTCACCCGCTTCATCTTGGCTTTAATCGCTGAAACCCCAGAAAATTTTCATCAACGATTCCTATTTGAACTCGCCATCTCTCCGTACCTTCCTCTCTCCTTCGTCGTATCATATGCTTGTAGCACTCTAGTTTGCGATTCGTCTGCCTGAGAGAAGGCATAACCACGCTGTTTACGCATACGCTGAACTTGACGAACCTTGCGAATGGCTTTCTGAAATTGCTCCATTCTGCAATGATTGGTTAGAAAATTGCCTTACAGGAAAGGAATCGAAAAGGGAACGTACCTTGGTCTATAATCTTGAATGTTGTATTTCTGAATCTCTTGGATATGGTGGTAGGATTGTGGATAATACATCCGTTTAGCGCTATGAGCATAGATTAGCATCTCTTAAAAATTACACCACGAATAACCTTACTATTTCCATGAAAAGTCTCTCAGCAAGCATAACATAGGTAATGCCAAACCCTGAATCCAGAAGACGGGACTTCCAAATAATCGTGGAATAACACCCTCATACTCCTTGGAGAAGCCGAGCTTAGGCGCCACCGTACCATACACAGCGATAAAAATGATCCAGATTAGCATACTGCCAGGTATGGCGATAACGTGATATTTCGTCCAAACATTTACCACTAGAGCTGCTTTTCCAAGAACAGTTGCCAAGACGGCAGTATAGAGTGCTGTACCCCATACCCAATGGCCTGCTGTTTTGCCATCGCCTTGTGGTAGATCACGCCACCAGATAAGCTCCGAGGCGATATATAGGATGAGAGAATGATAGAAACCGTTCCCAATCCAAGCCCAGAATGAATGCTGTCTGAAAAAGGTATTCTTTTGACCTAGTTGATAAAGTTGCGGATACCTATCGAGAAGTCGAGCAGATATAAACTGATCAAAGATACCCATTGCAAGTGGAGGGAGCACTGTAAAGAAGACGTTGTAAAATGATAGCGTCCAGGATTCGTAGATGACTTCTCCAGAGAAAACATTTTGGAACGAATACTGTAGACTGTTAATAGTAGATCAATTTGAAGAATTGTGAAAGGCATACCCAGAATTGCGTCATGTATAGCGTGATGTTTTTGTAGAAAGAATAGAGGATAACTTTGCTAACTCGTTGGTAACTCCATGCGCCATGAACTAAGAGAAGTTTGCGCAGATATCTGAATTGTCCGATCGCAACATCAGCACTTCTGGCTGCTTGTAGACCTTCCATACCACTGATACCAACACCAATGTGGGCTGCTTGAATCATTGAGACATCATTCGCTCCATCACCAATAGCTAATAGGATAGATTTCTTATTGCGTTTGACGAGCTTGACGACCAAAGCCTTCTGAAGTGGAGATACACGACAACATATGACAGCTTTACACATGACAGCAAGATCAAGGAAATCTTTCTCCAAATCCTTTTCAAGAGCATAAGTTAAAGATTTTCCATCAATAACCAAAGCAAGAGTTTCCATAGCAATGGTGCCATCACCTTGTGTTCGTATGGCATCGAGCTTCTTTTGTATGTTGTTCCTGGTATCCATTGCTGTTTCTTCGTTGACGATGAGAAGAGTCATATCTTCACTGATCAGCTTACAACTCATTCCAATGTTGATGGCAGTTTCTTGACGATCTCCAGTCAATACCCAGACCTTGATGCCAGCCTCTTGTAGAGTATGGATCGTTTCGGGAACGCCATCTTGCAGACGATCTTCAATCGCTGTGGCTCCAAGCAACGTAAAATCACGCTCCAGAATTTCAGCAGCTTTATCCAATTCGTCAGCACGATTACCACTGACGGTAGTTTGTGCTCTATCAAAGACTGACCACCACTCTTGAAACTCATTTTCAGGAATTTCTCGCATTGCCAAACAAAGTGTTCTTAGACCCTCTGAAGCATATTCTTCCAAATGCTGAAGTGTGACCTCAACATGTGGGTTGTCTGGACCAAGCCGTTCCAAGATAACAGTATCAGCCCCTTTGCAGTAGCATCTGATTTGTCCATCTGGACATCGAAAAATTGCCGACATTCGCTTTCTCGTTGAGTTAAATTCGCAAACCGCAAGAAGCTCATATTCATAAATCTCCCCCCCTACAGTTATCTGTACAGATCTTGGCTTGCGTGCAGTAAACTGATAACCCATCAGAACAGCACCCTCGACCAGAGCACCTTCGTCGGGAGATGCTGCTTGGTATTTGATAGCTCCGCCCTTCTCATCAGATCGTTCAGGGATAACGGTATGGCAAGTAGATAAAAGAGCAAGAAAGTGATGAATAGCTAAAGCCGACTCATGTGTTTTGAGATTCTCCTTAAGTCGATGGAAGTCATGAACCCCGACCTCCTGACCGTCGATATTGGTGGCTCGGCGATCTTCTGGCACATCCTCTGCGTATTGAATCCCTCCGATAGAACATTGCTTGAATTCCATTTGATTACATGTTAATGTTCCAGTTTTGTCTGAGAAAATGTATTCTACCATACCAAGTTCTTCGACTAAACTCGATGTTCGACAGACGGCTGGGGTATCAGTCTTGTCATGATACATATCGAGATCGTCATTGATCAAAATTGCATGCCAGTATTTTACCATTTCGACAGTGACGAAAAGAGAAATTGGAACCAGAGCAGAATACAGAACCCAATAGGTTGCTATATCAGAAAAGAATTGCGAGACTTTTTTCGCCGAGGTGATTGAAGCAGAATAACCAAGATAGCTTAATTCTGCTCCCTTGACTGATCTAACTATAACATCACCCAATGAACTTATGACACTCAACGCGATCAAGATAGCTACGAGCATTAGAACCAGAATATTGAGTTGGCGCTCCACGGCAGTTCTCTTTATTGGCGTTGCTGTCGCATTCCGCATAAGCTTGGTTTCGTGACCAGTAAATACAACAACTCCGTGAATCCAGGGAGTGTTACGTAGTGTTGCACCTCTGAGCAAAAGTTGATCAGGTTGCAAAGGAAGCTCCTTCTCTCCACCGCCAGCAGCCACGGTAAGTGTACCCTCATAGGTATATAGACTGCTATTCGGTTGTTCCGATCGTAGCTTTCCGCCCAATCTACTAAGTTCGTTGGAACTGACCATCACACATGTTTCTGGAATGGCTTGCTTGATTTTGAGATTAGTCTCACCGTCTAGATTGGCAGTCTCAATATAGCATAGTCCCTCCGGTTCCGAACTGGCTAGTAAGATAATATCTGCAGGAAATGACTCTTCGGATTCTACACGAACAATGTCGCCAACTGAAACATTGATCCATTTAGTATCCGCGAATGAAGACCCACGTAAAACACGAGCCTTTGAATTGTTCAGCGAAGTATCAGATGTTTTTCTCCTGTAGTCCTCAACTACTTCTTTACCGGCAGATACCAAGAGGACCAAGATCAAAGGTCCGATGGTGGTGTATTGGTTCGTTGGGGAAATATCGGGAATCTGTTGCAATGCTGCAGTAAACAAGAAGAATAGATTGGCAAATTTAGAAAACTGCTCGAACAAGAATTTCGGTAGAAAGGTCGCAGCGTTGTACTTGGCTGTAGATATATGATTGTCCACATATTTGCTTGCGCTGTTGGCAGGAGGATTGTTGAGATGTATGATTCTGGGACCAAGAGTTGAAGGATCTGGCTTTCCTCTACCAAATCCGAATTTAAATTTCCCAAGCTTACTTTCAGACTGTACAGGCGTTTCAGGTTCATGTGTATCTGCTCGATTTCTCGCACCGGCTTCAGTCAAAGGTAGATCCATTTCCGAATATTCAGCTCCCATTCCAAACATACTCTTCGCCTTGCCCATAATCCCACCTCCCAAGCTCATTATGCTATTGCGATTTCGACCATGACCCCTCATTTCTGCTCCGTCACCAGGAATTGCTGTTCCATGGTGGTAATACTCCGAAGAATGCCCATCATCCGGAAAATCGTCCAAATCATCCGCATATCGTTGGTAATTATTCAATCCTGAAGTTTGACTGTATGATGCTGAGTTTGCATGAATGTATGGCGGTTGTGCGCCACTCGTTTGATAGCCAGGCCCTCCTGGAAGATTGTTGGTGGTAGATGGCGTAGAAGGAGACGGTGCGCCAACGAAGTTGTCGTAAGAAATCGAAGGTCTAGGGTTCGACTCATCATGATCCGCATTGTAGGCGCGCAAAAGGTCGTCATCATTCATAGGGGCGCGCTGCCCGGTGTGGTAAATTGGTTGTTCATCATGTAAATCGAGAAGTAAGTCGTCCCGATTATTTGGAGGCTGTCCAGCCATGCTGGAATACAGCTCGAGGTCGTCGCACTTAATGCGGAGATCAAATTGTGATCATGCGATTTCTGGTTGTCCAAAATAGTCGTGATGTTTTGCAAACTTAGAAATTCGTTGTCCTCTTCACTTGTTATAGTTGCATAGCCTCTTTACGAGATTTAGGGATGGCGGATGTAATGTGAGTGCCGCTTAAGTTTGTCAACGGCAACCAATTCTTTCGTGCGTCGTGAACCGCGTCCTTCAATATATTGTTCTGTCTTCGTGTTCGTTAAATGCGGGATAAACTCAGGGTCAATTTGAGAGTCTGTTTGAAATTCGTATTAAGTCTTGGAATCTTGTCTTTGTTGCTAAATTAGGATTGACATCCACAATAATATAAAGATGGTTATAATAATAAGTTACAGGGAGAGCTCTAGCTCGCTTCAGCCTTCTACGCAAGGCCATCAGGTCCCGCCTCACCCGCATTCTTACTTTCCCGCAATTGATAACTGACATCACATCACATAACAGTCGATCACAATCCCAACTAATACTCATCATAACGTCTCGAAATGGTTTGCGCAAAGTGCCAAAAGAAATCTTCTAATACCTCTTTGGCAACTCCAGAGGTCAAGAAGAAGAGTGACATGTATCTTGGTTCGCCAGCTGGATCATCATCATCTAAGGCTGGTACGAAGACCTCCGCCACCTTGGGGAATAATGGTATAGGCAAGGTAAGATCCAATTCTATCGCGCACAATTCTACCATTGTTAATATTATAATGGCAGAGTAAATTGCTGTCGAAAGCTGCTAGAAATCCTTATGCTACATACTCGACAACTTGCACCGGTAAAGAATGCAGCACCAAGGTTGACCAGGGAAGGAAGTATTGTCTGAAGTGCTCATACAAAGCCAACGGTATGTACTACATCTTGTCCCGAATGGGTTATGCAGGTTCTAATAGAAAATAGCTTGCGCGATGTGTGGAAAGTCGAATGCGAAAACGTCATCGACTCCAGTTGTCGCTGGACAAAAATTCAATTTAAAGTGAGGAATTGCGCAAATGAAAGCTTGGGGTAAATACTAGAATGAAATATGTGATGGCGCCCGGAGTATATGCAGGGTCTCTAAGACGAGCAAAGAATAACTCGCAGATTTACTTGGTGATTATATATTGGCAGGAAGCATTACAACTTTTATTGTCCGGATGGATATTTAAGCTGAGGCACTCGAGAACTTAGGATTATACCGATCGTCGGACATGCATTCCCATCCCTCTCAAAGCACATACCTGATTACTACATACACACATAGATTGCGATCCCGAATACACATTGAACGCACGATAATCGACATGTCAACGGGCAAAATTCTGATTTCACGAGATAGCACCGGCTGAATATTACAAATAGTTATGAAAGGGAATCCTTCGTTTAGATACAGAGAGGCGGGCGACCGGCCATAATGATACTATCGACAGATGCACAAGACTTTGTGGAGACCCCACACTTTTCTTCTATACCACATTCCTAGTGGCAGTTCCACGGGTATTAATATAACACAATCAGCAATATGTCCCAATCTGAGATTTGACTCCAATGTCACTTCAATCTTAACTTTCCTAGCGAATCGCCCCCGGAATAAGTATAGATTACACATCCTCTGCTACAATTCATGTCAGCTTTGTGCCTAGAGATCAGGTATGCGAGGAAGAAATACCAAGACGACCGTTGAAAACGAGCTCCGAGCGTCCTTTGCATGTGAATGCCTCAGAGTTCGCGTTGTAAACGACTTCCATCAGATCCGAGGGTTCATTGATTCGTCGCGTGTAGTCTCGCATTGTGGTTGGCTGTAATGTATCGTGTTACGTGTTATTATCTCAGCGGTATGCCTACGAGTTTGGCAGACGTGTTAAATATTCTGGCTGTAAGATTTTATATCTATATACGTCTTTCTCGGATCGGAATCTACTTTGGGTGACTCGGAGGCTCAAACAGTTAAGATGAGAATGGTTGACCTAAATGCAATTTTATTTCCTGATTTCTCGCTTCTGCTTTAATGGTTGTATACTAGTATTCTAGTGATTCGAAAAATGGGAACAATCAGTGCTCGAGGCGAATATGGATGCCATGTGTGATTCACGGAACAAGTGCCTCCCATTTTAGCCAAAGCCAAGATCTTTGACATCTACAACTACCGGCTATAAACCCTCCCTGTTTAAGCCCGTCATCGCCACGAATCTCTAACGCGGCCCTGTCGATATGCTTCATAAAGAAGAGCCCATCTCCTGCGTCCCAAATCCGCAGGTCAGAAAGTCGTTGTGAACCCCAGGATCCTCGGCTTTCGGGAATTTATAAATAAAATTCATGTTTTGAGGGGGAGATGGTGAGTGAGGACAGCATGGTTGAATCATAGGTTTAGTAGGAAGGCGAGGGGGGCGGAGGTTGGGATGGTGAGGTTTTGGATGATGATGTGTTGAGCATGGTTGGGGCTGTGAGGTGGTTGATTTGGTGGTTAAATTGTTATGGGGACATGTATTCTGTGTCTTATGCTGGATATGTAGGTTGCAGTATTTTTGGTGCAGTTATAGAAAGGCTATGAATACGAAAATGTTAATGATGAATGACTTTGGACTTTGGACTTTGAAGATGGCTCGAATTCAATTACTTTGTCGGCCTCATCTTATGCCTTGATTTTTTATTCAGTCCTCTGATGGTCTAGCTATGTTGAATCCCCACCGTGAATATCCAGATGGTTCCAAATCTAGCAAGAATCTGAGGTGTGGTACTATGTGAATTCATTTGTGCTATGGACAAAACTTTGAATGATTCAAAAACGCTCTTTTCTAGCTTTCCTTGGACATTTACCTGTATGTTCAAGTAGTTATCCGTCAAGACCAAAGTTCAGTACCGCCCATAATCAGATATTAGATTCCCTTTCAATGTGATGTCCTCAACCTGTTCAACGATTATTGTACTCATAAATTTGATCTTAAAATCTCGGTTGGCATTTATTCAATCCGAAATAACGCTCCATCTTGCTAAGCCAATAGCAGATTCAATCGAATCAACGCTGGATATCAATCATTTCCTTTCCTGTCAATCAAAAACCAAATCGAAGTTCTACATTGATTAAAGAAATCTGCTGAGGATGGTGGAGAAAGCACATGGCACTTCAATTCGGTTGTGAAAAGGGGGTTTGATCGGTTATTTGGAAGATCGGCATTTGTACTAAAGCAACTAAAACGTTCTCAAGCTCTTCTAGCTTCAGTTTAGGCCAGAACCCAGCGCCTCCCGTGTTCGCTACATGAGCTGATTCATAGCTATTTGAAATTTGACGATCCGGATTGGCCGTGAGGGGATAGATAGGAAAACTTAAGACGAGGACACCTTTTTGTTAAGAAAACCACTTGGAATGGCATGTCACATTTGAGATATGAACCGGAGAATGTTATGAGATAAAGGATAAATGGTAATATTGAACAGTAGAAACATTTGAGATCATGAGATAGTGAGTTCAGAGAAGTGGTTTCGTCTACAAAGATACCTAACATCCGTTCCTGAAATGGAAAACTTGTGGAGGCCAGTTGGGGATGACATAATCTAAGACCGATAATGTGGGGTAAATCGTCCTAAGAGTACAAATTCGATACTCTACCATGCTTATGTAATATGAGCAGTTGCTAGATGACGTCTAGACTATAGAAACTTATGTACCGAAGTGGAAGGCGCGAGCGACTCTAGTATTCAATTGTATTCAATTCTATATCTTAAATCTCATGAATTTAATTTTTTAAAGAGAGATGAGTATAGATTTAATAGTCATTTTTGATATCAAAACAAAGTCTGATGCTCAATTGAGAGATATTGCATTCCACGGGTGATTTTCGGTGAATTTTTTGGTGAATTGATGCTGAAAACAAAATAAAACAACGCGCAAAAAATGTTCGATGTGTGTTCGTCTTAGCGCTTGTCCATTCATAATAGACGACTTAGTATATGTCATAATTCAGGCCAATCTCTTGTGAACATTACATCCCTCGATTGATGACTCTATATCATCCAAAAATGGCTTCAAAATCTTGTACTTCATGTCTGCGAGCGCTGAGACTTCAATCCGGACGTACTGCCAGGGTAAATAAACCCCCAATTCTTTCAAGAAGCGCAAATACCCATCACTAACCTTCCTCAGAACAGTATTGCGAAATTCAACCCCGCCACCTCGCGAGCCTTCGCAACAGCTAATGATAAATATGCCAATCTCGCAGAGGTCAATCAGAATCATGGGACATCAATCCCTCCCGTCACACCACCCCGTGCTGGAGATAAGGCAAAACACTCTGCACATACCTCACCAAGCCTTGCCAGAGAATTCAAAAAAGTTTCAGGCAAAGCTATAACCGAAACATATACCGCATATGGAGCCACAGAAGAGCTTTATAAAACCTGCGGGGCACAGGCGGACTACTCTATACCACAAGCGTCAGATCCAGATGCAGAAATGCCAAAGACGGAAGAAGGTGAAGACTTAGGTGTTGGTAAAGGCTGGTGGCATGATCGTACGTCATACTTCTTCCTCTTAGACGACACAGTCCCAAGCTAATAATTCTTTTTTCCTTTAGAACTAGCATTGAAACCTACCTTCAGCACTTGGTCACAGGTAACAATGCTTCACTTATATCTGCTTTCAGTTCGTCTTCGATGCTTCCCAGGCGCCGAGTCGCAGCCTTGGCAACAACACCTTCTCGACCACTTCTTTTATGATGCTGAGAATAAAATGATTATTAATCATAATATGCATGCTCGTGGTACTCGTAATAAATACCTCAAGGATATGTTTGTTCAGTGGCGAGGTCTTTTGGCGGCATATGATGAGGGCTTGGCCAAGGGTGATGCTGTATTGGCAGCGGCCGTCTGGAGGAATGTCTTCAAGGCAAACGAGGATGTTGATATCAAAGGACTTGCGACGATCGTCAGTTATATGAGACGTACCATGCAGGAGTTGGAGAAACTCTCAGATCAAGACATCATGAGTGGTCAGCTGACCTTTGGTGACCCTGCTGGAGAAGCAAATTTCGTTGGCATCAAGAGCAAGATGATGGATTTACCACTGGATCAGGCACCGGGAAAGCCTCTGTAGATCCAATATGAAAAAGGAGATATGATTATGATTACGCAATCCACTCCAGAGCAGCTCGCTCAACTGTATTTTAAGGTTATGTATTATTAATGAAATCAGCCACTGACAAAAATGGCATTACAACTTACCATCACAACATGATGAACTGATTTCAAAACCCATGAGATGGATAGAGATGGAATGGAAAATATTGTAAATGGAAACAAATGTACTTAAGGCGAAAGCCTATATAACTACTATATAGTTGCCAATAACAAGCGACCAGCTTCGTACCTTAGGGGACGGCAAGTACTGTTTTCATGGATGCTGAGTGATATTGATATTCTCGCTCCTTCAATATAGTATCTAGTAGTAGCAATATTATCTATACTCTAGATCTAATCCCACAACGAAAATTTCAAAAGCTATTTTCCAGATTGTTATCACTCAACTGAGATGTTGAACATCAGAGGAAAGAAATTTAAAGACGAGACGCACGTCAACCCGTACAAAAAGATACATGTTATTCTCAAGGAGCAAGGAAAATTGTAATCCCTTCACAGACATTTTTTCTTTTGCATTGACCAACTTGGTAGCAAACCATAGCTTCGAAGTAAATATCCCTCTCAGCGAGGTGTTGGAAAGGGGATTGGTCACACTAGAACTACTAGCTATCTATGTCGCTCTTAGGAATCTCAGTTCCATCAGAACCTCAAACTCAGAGGAGCAAAACAGACTATACATCAAGGTAACATCAGACACCAAATTGAAGGCACAATGTGCTGAAATGAGTGAAAAGACAATGCTTGCTCTTGTCCATGTAAACATTTTGCGGGCTTTGTTTGGATTTGCTTGTGTTTAACTGTTGGGTTTTGTACCTCACACCCTAGCCACAACCCTTCAAAGGACCATAAGCCGACGTTTCGAGAGTTTTATAAGTGGTGTACAAGATGGGCACAGTCTTGAATGCTGGGCTTGTAAAGAAAATGATCTAATGGTCAATGGGTCGGTGATAGATCCCTCGAGAGCATTGGGAACTGTGTATTCGAACCGACTTGTGAAAACTCGTTCCGGCTATCCTTCTTTGTGTCAGGTGGAAATACGTGAGAGTACTTGGTAGATTATGGGGTTTTTTTCGTACAGAATAAGAGGAGAAGACTTATCTGGTGGTGTATTATTGTGTTGTCAGCTCTCTTAGAAGTTAGTTTCATGCTCTTTTTTATTTAAGGAGAAGAAAGGTTGGCGAGGTTCCCGATGATTCTTGAGGACAAGTAAGAGAAATAGAAGGAGTTATTTCTAACTCCGATCTCTATGGATCAATAGATGGAAAACTCTGAAACGGTGGCAAGGGATCCCAGTTCCCTCCTCGCTACTGCCTGGGATAAGAAATTTCTCGTTATAATTATTCGTTCTGTTTCCTGTACTATTTGCCATGATACAAAGACAATTCACATGAAGTATTGTGAAGGTATGAGAAGTTAAGGTTTTAAAAGAAAAAGGAGAGGAATTTCATGCAGTGCAAGATGGATTTCTATATTGACTGCATCAAACACTTCCGATCTTAGCGTCGGTATATGGAAATAAAAGACTCGAATCATCATACTCCGTCGAATTAGGTTCATGCTACTCATATGCTCTCCTCAATCTGATAGATTATAGATACCTGAATCACCGTTCCTGTATTTTAAAATATCGCTTTCTCCATATTTAGAAGTCTCAGCGAAGCTATTGGTTGAATCTCTCATCTTAAGCATTTTGACTTCGGGACCAGATACTTTCTAACTACTGGTAGAGAAATTGATACTCCAATCATAGTTCTATAAAGAATTTGTTGCGTATCTGAAATTTGTGGGTCTGGAATTGGCATGTTATCAAGATTCTATTGTCCTTCTAGCCACCCCCCTCCTTATCTTCACTGCAATTTTTGACCATAGCAAAGGCTGGTATAAGCCAACCCCTAAGTTCTCTTTCTGGTGCTATTCTGGTAGTGCCTCGATAGATAGTTTGATCAGGCAGTGTTGGTATCGTCATCATATTAGAAATATCAAATCGTAAAAGCTAGTAAGACGCTGGTTTGATGAATGAAAGGAATTATATCCTTTGCTACAAGTGCGCATGGAAGGTTTCCTTCATCTCGGGTTCTATCCTAACGTTTCCTTTGATATGATTCACAGCGGGGAAGGAGCCGACTTGATGGTCGAGAAACTAGAGATTTAGCGTACGCCTAGACTCTAGCGCTCATTAATACATGATTGTATGCACCCTTTCAAGAACTTCATTCTTTTGCTGGAAATCAAAGAATACGGATATTATCAACTGAACTGTTGATAACACGTTATTTACACTGAAAGATAAGACTTTGTAATATATTGTTGGTGGAGTATAGACTCATGTATATACGAATAACCGAGGGTATTACATAATCACCATTTTGTAACGATCGATAGTTGAAATAGAAGGAGGCACCACAATGTCTTTTAGACGCATTTTCGCAAGAAGGAAGCTCCTCTAGGTATTTCAATGGCTTCCTTGGTACTCTCTTTTCATTGACATATTCACGTGTTGTTGCCTTGAATGATAATATTAACCCACATTTCGATATCAAAACCTTCTATAGTCGTACCTGAGGGCTTCTACCCGACGTGGTGTTCAATGCCCGCGTACGAGAGAAGAGAGACCTACTCATCTCAATGAAAGAGTGCTCGAGGTTATCTTCGTCCGGTAAACAATGACTTTACCATTTTCAGACCATATTAGAAACACACATGAAGCATCTCTTTCCCTTCCCTGACACTGGTACTTATCCCATCAGTGACGTCTATGTTGATGTTGATTTTCTATACCCCTATGCAGCATTCCTTGTACCTTTTAATTAACGATTTTGAAATACCGATGACATAATGATTGGTCCTTGATTAGCAATCCAACCGATGGAAGGACCTCCCAGTGTCCTTTCCGTTCCAATTATTCTTTTACTAGCTTCATCCTGCCTCTCGAAGATCTCACTTGCGTGCGCCGCCTTTGTAACCTGAATCACGTGTACAGACACACAAATTTGGAATTTAAAAATACTAAACAGAATAGGCAAGATCAAGTGATTGGCTACCCTTGGCAAATACTACAGACCAGTGTCAGGGTATTAGTACTCGTTGTAACTAATTATAGCATGCTTATAAGCTATAAATAAATTTGGAGATCCTAGAGGGCGATCAAATTGGAAATCCCTGGAGCATTACCTTGCCATCGCCTTATAGAGGCCCCGCAACACCATAAACTCCAGAACCATGTCGACCCCCCGCAAAAGTAAAAGCTCCAATCCCGTATAGAGCCCACAGACAATACTTAGATGACCAACGCATCCAAAAAATACATCTGATGGACCAGTACAACGGTCTAATATAATATCATGATATAACATAATCATTCGAATGATGACTAGGTACCGAATTGGGCATCTACACCGGGAAACATACCAAAGATATCATGTTCAAAACCTTCAATGAAATCAAAGTAATGAGGATCCTTCAGCAAAGACCGTGTGTCGTGCCTTCTCGAAAATATATTACTCAGAAGCTGTCCACTGGTTTTTATCAGCCATACTTGACTTCACGATGACCGTACCTGAGTCAACCCCAAGGATCAGCCCAAGTCAAAGTTCGTTGGCCTAGTCGAAAGTCTTGCTCCGTTGTTTCCCGACCTAGGCGGTGCTGTCAAGATCTGGGTGGCACCCCCAAAAGTTGATCAAAACTTGTTTGAAAGGCAAATATCGCACCAAACAAAGAGGAATATCTTCAAAAACATAGTCGTATATGTTACTCAATTCCGATGTCAAGATTGAATCTCGCTGGAAGTGCGAAATTGCTGAAATACTGATCTTGATATACATGATACAGTATACCACTGGCCCACGAGGGCTGTCAAAATGAAAACAGTTTCCAGCTGCCATTACTATATCAATCTCTGTTTCTAGCTCGGCAGCAAAACATAATATCACAGAGTATTATCCAGGTGTAAACTACTCACCAACAAAGTTTGAATAAATGAAGCCGCACAACACTTTACAAGACTATCCTGTCTACCAAAAGAATCATACCTATATTCTGCTCGATTCGATCCTTCTGTGATGCACGCAATCTCAGTGTCTTCGGCTAAAATATCTTCGAACAGCAAGTTGAAGCAAGTCTTCGATGCACATCACATTCATGATAATTTGCTTCTTAACCAGCCACATCTATTAGTCACGTAGGTATTGTAGGTCTCAACAAATATACGATGCCTCGTATAGAAATCTTTGCACCGTATCGTGTAAGAAAGTCAGAAATCAACATTCTCAAATTTTGAAGACTCATACCGAATTGTCTTACAAACACATCCGCTCCCACTTTCTTTCTATATCAAAAAAGCTGTTATTACTACGGTTTCCAATAGCATAAAAGATGGTACTCTCTTCCCAAGAGAACATTTGCTTGAAAATTAGTTGGCTACGCTATCATCTTTAGCTCTGTTTATCTCGCAAAATATTTATACAAAAAGGGGTCCCACAATAATTCTTCACTTCCTCCATCTCTACCACCTTTGCTCTATAACCCTACGTCTCAACACAGTATTTTGGAAACAGAAGACTTGTTTAGACGTCAAATTAAGCACGCTCTGCCTCAACTGGCTCAATATGCACGGTGTGCAATTCATTGTCGACAGGATTTAGTCTCTTATCATAATTTTCAACATATACTTCATATCACATAATATACATCCAGCCACAACTTGTCTGAGTGACAATATCACAGCAAATTCCATCATATCAAACACTTTCGATCTAACCTCTTATTTGATCATCTTCTCGTCTATCTATCAATAACATCGAGAATGTCGTTCCTTGGCTCCTTGGCACCGCCTGACAGACCCAGAACCAGGTTGCCAGGGACTATGGAATTGGAGGAGTCGAATGCAAGAGCGCATCCAGAGTTCAAAACGGCTATAGATGCGTATGCATATCTCGAATTCGCAGTCTCGCAAAGCAAACTTGACTCGACTAACATCAATTTCTAGGAAAGGCACTATCAAGCTCTTTAGCACCTCCATTCCTAGGAAAGGCACTATCAAGCTTTTTAGCACCTCCCCTGTTGAAGCCTTGAACCATGAGTAAGTATGCTGAGTCTGAAGCACCATACCTCTCAATCAATTTTGCTAACATTATTTTTACAGAAAGCGAAGATTTCAAGATCTAGAACTGAGCCACCGTAAAGCCAACATTCCGAAGAATGGGTATGGATTGACAGAGGAGGAAATGAAAATATACACAAAGAGTCCGGACAAATTTGAGAACATTCTTGCAGCTCATGCTGCTTCAGGCAATGTTCCCTACGTAATAGACCTTAAGATATCGTTATCAAAATACGCAAAATTGATCGAAGCTCGCAATCCCATCTACGGCAAACTGCCAGCCGGTGACTCCCATTTGGCTTCTCTTGAATGCCTCATGTTTCTCGAGCGTTGGATTCGTCTCCAAGCACCTGTCTTCTCCAAGACAGAGAAAAACGCAACAATTGATAGGTGGAATGAGAAGATCAAGGAACAAGATTTTGCATTGAGAGAGAGTCCGCAGTGGGGTTTGCTCTACAAATTGTACGAGCAATGGGTCATAGATCAGGCCAACTTCTACGAGCCCCAACATGACTCACTTGATGACCCTGATTTTGATTCTGATTAAGAATTCTATATGATCCTTCGCGGCCTGGTGAGTTCAGGTTCCTTGACGTTATTAATGGTGAATACTGATACTTTGATAGGCTTCTACCAAGGAATCAATCATATACGACGGCAACACATCCTATACGCAATATGCTTGGTTGGAAAGATGCAAGAGTATGTGTAAGATCGGTCGGTTGGATATAATTCATTGTCTGATGGAAGACAACTACGTACTCTTATCTCGTCAGATTGATGGATATGACTACGTTTTTTTTTGAACCATGAATAATTTGTAATGTCTAATTGTTAATTTTACCAGTCATCCCGAAAGAAATATCGTCAATGTACTCTTGGTGAATGGTGTTGCACGGCACCCACCGTCTCCCCCTTTCCCCGAGTTTGATACCACCCTTCCAAAGATAATACCCATGTCTAGATACCCCAGAATACAACGCATCATCCAATTCCCATCTCATTTTATCTCGTACTACATTTGTTGCCGGTACAAACACATTCGACGATAACATGCCACATTACGAATAAATCACGCCACTTTGACACATTTGTCGATCGATATTATCTTGGGGCTTCCAGTCGCTCCCTGCCACCGGCGAGATGATTTCTAGTTGCCAAATGAAAAGGATGAGTATTCCCTATCCTAATCGTAATGATTTCACTTTCTCTCGGTATTTTGTGTTGACCTGTTGAACGACGACTTTTCAGAAAAGAACTCGCCATTAATAGGTATATACCCTGCAGTTATTGCCATACAGATGGACTGTTATATCTTCATGTTGCATAATATTCATAAACTAACAATTGAATTAGACAACATCCATCGATCTTATCTACAAGTCAGATTTACTCCGTCACATATTTTATCATGCCTCAACAGTAATACACCCTTTTCTACCCCCAGATATCAAAACAGCAACATTATCTCATACCATTGCTAAAATTCCCAGAATCAAAAACGAAATGACTAGACCCACCAGCAAGAAGCTCCCTTCTAAAGTCTGCTCATCTAAATTACGAACTCGACTCGTTACATCACCGAGTGCTCGGGACCATGAGACTGCACATGCTAGTGAGGAGGAATTATCCCCAAGTCTAAAGAGACCTGAAGGATCTACTTGCTCGGGAGCTTGTGAAAAGATTGGTGGATGTGAGAGGAAAGAGAAGAGCGTGAGTTTGGAGTTTTGAATGTTAGAAAGGGTGTTTGGGGGAGGGAGGGAGAGAAGGAGCGGAGGATATGTATTGAGAGGGAAGTCGTGATAGGAAGGGATGGGATTCTACATAGTTAGATATACATGATGGTGAAGCAGGTACGGATATGGGGTGGCACTTTCTTGGAGTACTGGTTTGGCAGAGCAACATGGTGAGGTTTTAGGGATTTGTTGCTGTCAATTTTTGGGAAGATATTATACCCGACAGAGACTTCAAAGTTATAAACTGGAACATTAATATTTGCAATTAAAAGATTGGTTATGGCCGTTGATCATCATCAGTTCTCAGCGCTCCGCTTCCACCAAGTGAAAGCATTTGAGGATGTGCTGGAATCTGTAGGGAGCATTTCCTCTCGTCTTCATACTTTCATCTGCGAATTGTTGTTTAATTTAGCGTGAATGTATCGCCATATTATTAGTTTGAGAAGAAAACTACAGAGAGGTAATGGGAATACAGTCTGATGAAAAGAACTTTAAATCAATATATACTGCTACATTGCCTAGTTATAGTCCCCTCTTCCAACACCTTACACTTATCTAATTATCAATAGCTATGACTGTAAGTAATTCGTCAGTCGTTCGCGATCCTCTAATTGGCCGTTTTCCACTTCTTAAGCTCATCATAGACATTTTGGAAATTTATCACGGACTTGCCATCACGAATCTACAAGTCTGAATCTACTTCCCCATTTTAACGAAAGAGCCTCCACTTTACACCTATGCAGGTAGGTGTAGGGCTGGCACAAGATTGGCTATGATGATTTGCACAGATTAATGATGTATCATGCGACCAAGCGAGGTGTCTGTAGTAGGTTGGTATGGCTGTGATTTTCGGAACTTCAAAGAGGTAAGTTTATTTTGAGTATCGCAGAGCGTTAACGTTTGATTAAATTGAAATTATGGAAGATCGCTATCATACCTTGTCTTCCGACTTTTACAAGAGAAGGTCCGGAATTGGTCATGACAATGTTCTGCTCACAATGTCCTGTGACTTCTGCTTACCTACCCACATAGGCAGTGAAGGATAGCTCGCTTATTTATGCGCTCTTTATCAAAGGTGCGAGGGGTCTCAGGTCTTCTCACGAATGGCGATGGTTACTGCTGAAAATTCGATAGTCAGTTGGTTGAGATGTTTAGTCCTGATTTTTTGAATGCTTTTTCTCAATTTGTTCATATACTAGATGGTGGTCGTGGTCTGGTCAATTAAATTCATGTTTGGAGGCCTATACTGGAAGATTATACCAGCGCTTTTAAAACAATTATCACCAACTTCTATGTTACGATTGCTGGGATAGTAAATCTAATATAGAGTAGGTCGTGACTTCCTGCTTCAATATCTGGATTGTTTTGGGCTGTCTGCAAATTGAAGATACAACAAGAGCTCGATGAAAGAGGAATGAAATCATGTGGCCGTACAAGACTGTGAAAAGAAGGAACGATGCATGAGCTAGTCTTTCTAGCTTGAAGGTGGTGTTGATTTAAGATGATGTAAAGGATATTCGAAGATTGTGTCTTACGTCTTTCAACCGTTTCAAACATTATATAATTTGTGTGACCTTGCATCGATTTCTATGCGTGTATCATTTCGAATCTATACCTTCTATTACCGAATACACTTGCGTTAGTAAGCCCAACTTCAAATTCGATCATGGCAAATGGAGTTGTAAAGGACAAGAAGTTGAAAAGATCTTTGAAAGATGACAATGAATCAAGATCGGTCAAAAGGAAAACGGCGCATGAGCTTCAAGAAATTGGAGACAAACGAAATGATATCGGTTTTTTCTTGATAAATACGGCAGAGGGAAAGTTGTTGCTGAACATCTTAAAGTATGTTGGATTTTCACAGGTGGTAACCAGATACTTTTCATCGAGAAGAGGCTAATGGCTAAAAGCTCAGGGAAGGCAATTCAATGTGCTTGTGTACGGGCTGTAAGATACAGAATCGCAGAGAGTGTACAAATGCAAGTTCATCATTCATTCATTTTCTGCAGGAAAGAAACTAACTCATCATAGGTGATCGCGGCTCTGGTGAAGAAGCAGGTGAGTCCATGATCATAGTGAGAGCTGGCTGACCGAGAAAGATGCTAATCAGCAACAGACAATATTGCAGTATATGAGCATAGTGTACTATTCAACAGACCTTCTTGAGCAGAAGTTTTCTGGTGAAACTCTTCTTGAAAACTCAAGATGTAGATTTTGCGCGGATGCACCAAGCGTAAGTTCAGTTTCTTACATTCTGAAATGACAGACTGGAGCCAGCAGATACTAATCAATAACAGTGCCCTCTTCAGCCTCAAAATATAATATTCACAGAACTCCCTGCGAACAGAAATAGCGAAAATGTCAACGAAGAAGAAAGAACGAAGTGGAAGCATACAAGGCCGTCGGAAGAGATGAGAAGCTATATCCATTCGAAACCAGTTGGTACGATACAAAAAAATGCCAAAATATTACGAGGAAGCATTGGAATGTTGGAAGCTAAGTCTGGAAAGAGAAATTCGCAATTGTATTAATCACTCTTTTTCGGAGGTCGTTCACCAGTGGGTGCACGAACTGACGGAACACGCGCTTTTTTGAAAATACCCTTAAAATAAACAATTCAAATTATAAACAATCAATTCAATTTTGAAATACTATTAAATATATAATTAATTAAATATAAGTTTATTTTTATTAATAGAAAATTATATAGAAAATATAATGTATTAATAAAATTAATATTTTATAAAGAATTCGATTAATATTATATAAAAAAAAGTATATATTTTATTTCAATTTAATTAGATATATCAAAATCTATAATTTATTAATAATTTCAAAAAAGAGATTTATTAAAAAGAAATATATATAAATAGATTTATAAGTTTTCAAAAGATTTAGGGGAATTTATATTAATTGATAAAGATATTTGTAAGATACTTATTTTATTTTTTTGAAATAAATTATAAATTAAAATTTATAAAGTAATAATTGAATATTTTTAATTAGAGATAAAATAATATTCTTTATAGAAAAATTTGAAGAGATTTATAAATCAAGATTAGTATTACAAAATTGTTTATTTAGAAAAGCTTTTTATTAATACAAATTATAGAAAATATACTATTTTTAATAATATTTATAAATATAATATTATAAAAGGATTTTAAAAATATATTATATATAAATAAAAATATATATAAATTCTGTTTTATAAGGAAAGAAAAGATTTTAAAAGAAATTAGAATTCAATATAAATTAGAAAATATAATAGAATATTCTTTATTAGAAGGTAACAAAATTTATTATAGAATATAGATTTCTTTTAAAAAAAAAGCTAAAAAAACTTGAATTTTATTATAATAAAAGGAATATATAAATAAATTAATATTTATATTTAAATCTAAAAATAATTCAAGATTGAAAATCCTAAAGAATATAAGGAAAGAGTTTATATATAGAAAAGTAATAAAACTATATCCTAAGGATATTAAGCTTCAAGGTAATATTATAATATAAAAATATTATATAAAACAATTATTCTTTGTTTATATAAAAGCTATTAAAAAATTATGAATAAAAGATTCTATATATAAATAGCTTTTAATAAAGAATAATAATAATTCTTATAGATTCTTTAAATATAGTTTTATATAAAAGCTTAAAGATATATATAATATTGAAAATCTATTTTATTTTTTTAATTTATTTAATCTGAATTTAATAGAAAATATTTGGAATATATTAAAGTAATAAATTTGAAAAAGATAATAGATAATATTGAAAAAATTAAAGGAGATTATATAGAACGAATAGAATAAGATTATATAGAAAAAAATTCAAAAAAGATATATCAAATTATTTAGTAGATATAGAATTCTTATTAATATTAATGGGAAATGTATATAATTGGAATTATAATAGTTATTAATTATTTAATTATAATATTAACGTAGTTTATCAGTGCGTGTACTATATCAGTATATACACCACTTCAAAATACACCTAAATTAATCTTTTTTCAATATTTGTATTTTAATAATGAATTATTATTATTTTCAAAAAAAAAATATATTAAATAATAATAAAAATAAAATATTTAGAAATCTAAATTTTATATAACGTAGCTTATCAGTGTATATATTATATCAATATGTGTATCACGAATTTATATATAAAATATATCTATATATAATTGTATACTTCCTTTATTTATTAATATAATTAGATTTTTTAAGGAAATTATTATATTTATTTATATAAATAATATGAAAATCGAATTGTTTTTCAAAAATTTGAATTAAAATAAAAGTTATTATTAAAATAGTTTTTTTATAACGAAAATCATGATAATTTCAATTTTTCTAGAAATATAATAGGAATATTTATATAAAATTTAGATTTCTAAATATTTTATTTTTATTATTATTTAATATATTTTTTTTTGAAAAAAATAATGATTCGTTATTAAAATATAAATATTGAAAAAAGATTAATTTAGATATATTTTGAAATAATGTATGTACTAATATAATACACGCACTAATAAACTATATTAAATATTCCTATTATATTTCTAGAAAAATTGAAATTGTTACGATTTTTATTACAAAAAAACTATTTTAATAATAACTTTTATTTTAATTCAAATTTTTGAAAAATAATTCGATTTTTATATTATTTATATAAACAAATATAATAATTTCCTTAAAAAATCTAATTATATTAATAATAATAAAAAGTATACAATTATATATAGATATATTTTGTATATAAAATTCATAGTGTATATATTGATATAGTATATGCACTGATAAATTATGTTATCTCATTTTGGGTTTTTAGAAGTTATACAGACTATTCTGTGAGTCCGTGCACCCACTGGTGGTCACAATGTAAGCTTAGTAATAAATTACTACAAGCATTTTTAGTCCGTGCACAAATTTCCCCAGACTTCGTAATTTTACCCCTCCAACCCCTCTATTAATAGTTGCTATCATTGTTTCGTGAACCCAAGATGTCCACCAATTCCAACATATCAACTATGGCTCCTATTAAAGAGTTCACCCTCATCGTCGCTGCGACAAATAAGATGGGAGTGGGTAAAGGAGGCGGGCTTCCATGGACAGGATTGAGAAAGGAAATGGCTTATTTTGCGAGAGTTACCAAGAGGGCTGGTACTGGGGTATGTATTGCCTGATTTCATTGGTCATCTGCTCTACCATTCTTTATGCCTGCCTAGCAATACATGCTATAATGTGAACATTTCTGTATAGCTTTACATCACTCACAGATGGAGGATCGGAGCAAATTCCTTGAATTCGCGCCCTTCTACATTCTCCAATAGAGATGTAGAAGGAAAGGTCGAGCTATAGTATTCTGAATACTCTTCTCGGAGCCAGGGCCTATGGTTGGAACAGTTCGAGAAGTAGCATAGAATGACTTAAACTGACCTAGTGGGATTTTTGAACAGAAAACAAACGCAGTAGTGATGGGGCGCAAAACCTGGGAATCAATTCCTCCTAAGTTCCGACCTCTCGCAAGCCGAGCAAATTATATGATTAGTCGAACACAAACCTCTGATCCCTCGGACGTTGACCTCGGTCCTGATGCACATGCCGCAACAAGTTTAACGAATGTACTCGAGAAACTCGGATCGAGGAGTCAAGCGAAAGACTTGAATAATGATGATGAAAAGGAGATCGACAGAGTTTTCATAATTGGTGGAGGACAAATCTATAAAGCCTCACTAGAATTGAAGGAAGCGAAGAGGATATTATTGACCAGAATAATGGATGATTTTGAATGCGATACGTATTTCCCGGTTCAATTGAATGAGGACGGAACCGGTAATGGATGGAGAAGGACGGATACTCAAGCACTTCGAGAATGGACCGGGGAAGGGGAGGCGGCAGAAGGGGTGAAGGAGGAAGGCGGCGTAAAATATGTCTTCGAGATGTGGGAAAAGATTGAAGAATCATGAAGAAGCACAGAGGTAGGGGCTGAGCCATTGCTTTGAGATGACAGATGATGGACTCAAAACATACCCAACAGTATGGTGGCTTTATATCGAGTCGCCCAAGCAAGAGCCATCTCACCCCCTTAACCAGCTTCTTCCGGCCCTTAAAAGCTCATGTTTGTATACAAATAATCCCTTCAGCATCTACCCTTTGGCACAAAAAAGCATTCGATATCTCTAAATGCTCTCTGCCCCTCGAATCTCCCTCAAATGCCGTCTGAACCGCCGCATCAAAAGTATTTCTCTCCACTCTATTTTTTAAAAGAAGCAAGCGATCTAGCAATCAATGCTTCTAGGCATCACAAGATACTCATTCAATACACCAATCTTCCTCATATATTTGTTCTCTGTATACCAGGCCACGAGAAAATCAACTACAAATCTATCTCATCCGCGCAGCATTTAATCCAGATGACCCACTTTGTTCGTCCCTGGGGAGTGAAGATGCCGTAAACAGGACGTCGATGATCATGAGAGCCACGAAAGAGGGTTCATTATGTATAAAATCTATACCACTAAATTAATCCTCAAACTAAGAATACGGCTATGAACAAAGTATGACGTGAATTAGTTTTTTGAACCTCGCAAGGACAAGTCGCTCGCCGAGAAAGGATCAGAATACAAATCAACAGTCTATGGAAATTCAACTTGAGGCAATTGCTTGTCCGGAGTCCTTGTGGACCGATTGACTAGGAGATCTTAGGTAATAATATAGCAGGTTTATGTATATGGTGTGCATCATAGCATACTGTAACTTGCGAGTTATCGTATCGGACAACCAATTCCACACTTTAAGCCTCGATCTCCCAGAGTGACGGCAAAATCATCAAGTGATGTTAGACTTCAATAGCACACCCATATTCACAGCTATAGTCTCAGAATGATCCTTTTCCCTGGGAAACCCCAGACTTGATTCTATACTCGTGTCTATATTATCTATTGATATCATTTATGGGTAGATATATCTCAAAAGTATGTTTAATTACAATGTCTGTTTATTTACGAGAGGGGAGAGGTGAAAGAAAACTTAAGGCTATAATAGGTATCTCCTAAGTATAATTTGTACGAAAAATCATATGCATTTCTGGGAATTTATCTCCAGCATCTGTAAGAAGCGGGTTACAAATCTCTAATACGAGAAAACGTAGAAATCCAGCAGCTTTTCAATGATAAGCACCTCCGAAGTAACTTCATCTTGTCTCTAGAATGAACATCAACTCAAAATTTATATTTCATGCTTCTAAATAAAGGAGCGTGTATGATAACTAGGTGCTGAAATATGACATGTCACACACGGTTCTACGAATATGTGAATATACTCTATCTGGATAACGGGAAACTTATCTCGAAAGTAAAAGATGAATGAACCATTTCTTAAGCAAATCTGTGCATTTCTTCCTCCTATTCATAAATCCTGGTATTGTATCTCATCTCTGTATCTCATCTCTACATCCCCTCACTAACATGCATCCTCCATACTCCATGCATAACATCACCAACACCGGCTCAGACCCGATGGTAGGTAATCATCGGACTGTGTTTGATGTGTTCGGATTTTGATACTGCTTTTTTTGTTCTTCTGTTTGTTTGGGTTGGGGTATATATTCAAACTTCAGAAAAATTTGATGTGATATAGTAATTGGGGGATTATGGTATAGCGTTTCTGCATGTGTGCGTGAGGAAATGATCATATTGTTAATGAGCATCTGTGTAGTTATGGATATCTTGGTGTTTAGATGTCTTGATGGTGTTGATACTGATATTTGCATACTTATCCATTTTGCTCGTATAAGAGTATGAGATCCTAGATTATAAACACTAAAAACAACTGGATACCAGACAGATTCCAGATAAATACCTATATCAAGATTCTCCATCAATCCAGCACATCGTTCGTCATCGTATCATTTCCAGACTCTTCATTAATTACACGCGATACATGTCATATAATTTATTCTGAGCTAAAATCCGAAGCTACTCCTAAATCTTCAGAACTCAGATCTCCGTGTCAGCAAAATCATTATTTATTACTATCTCATAATTAAATTTATGAAGCGTGTTAGTGCTAGTGCTAATGTACGCGTTGCTATGCCCTTCCCCCTCCCCTTCCCCCTCCCCCGAATTACATTCATCCCCTTTATATCTCTGTAACATGCAAATGCACACGCATTTAAGAAAAGCTAAGTATCCTCTCCACCCCACATACCCTACAGGTGCATCTAAACTCGTATTCTTCTCCTTCATCTCTGGGCCCACAATCCGGACATAGAGTCCATTCTTTGTCCCCCTCTCCATCACTCTCTTCCTCTCCATCTCCATTTTTCTTCGCTACTCCTGAAACTTCCCGCTCAACAACCCTCTCCACAATCTTCTCCATCTCGACCTCCACCGGAACCCTCACCTCTCTAATCACCTCCTTAACTTTAACTTCTGTCCTCCTCCCCAACGCTCTTAGTACCTCTTCCCAAAACTCCCCATTCTCACTCATCGCCCTCCAAAGCTTGCTCTTCACCTCTTCATTCCCTAGCATTCCCTCTAATTCCTGCACCGCCGCTTCCACCAACGCGTTTCTCAATCCCGGATTCTTCGTCGTCGTTTTCCCATATATCCGCTTGATGCAGTCGAAATAGATATCTAGGTCTGAGATTTGCGTATGCAGTGTGTGACGGAAGGATACTGCGGCGAGGGTTTCCAATGCCGGGATTTGTAGGTGTGAGGCGAGGTAGAAGATTTCTTCGTGGAGGGGGAGAGAGTAGGTGGGGCCGGAGAAATAGGTGGAGGATGAGGGTGAGGTGTTGGGTGGAGGAGAGGGGATTGAGTAGGCAGATGTGTAGAGGTATTCTAGGAGTGCGATGATAGATTCGAGGGGGAAAGAGGAGAGGTTTAGGATACTGGGTTTGGTCGGCGAGCCGAACTAAGAGGGAAGTTAGTGGTTTGGTGTTTAAGGGGAGGAGGGGAATAGGATAGAGAAACCAACCATATTGCAAACTCCGGTATTATCAATCATACTCTCCAAAACCGGCGATTGGGAGCACACGACTACTTTATGCGCATTCCATACTCGCACACCATGGAAGATTGTCAAGTCTGAGAATCGTCCTTCGAGTAGAGCTCTATCGAACCGTGTTAGCTTCAATTTCGTAAAATTGTTTTTCTTGACTCCATATTAATCTCTCCATTTGATCTTGAAACCCAAACAGATGCACGGTACCAAAAGAAGCACGTAAAGAAACTCACTCTCTCAACGCCAACAACGGCCCCTCCAAAACCACTTCATTCTCTTCAAGTCCCGATTCTCTTCCCCCAAACTGCACACTTCCACGCCCGCTCCCATTCCCATTCCCCAACCCAGCATTCACATATCCCGTAAACCCCACTCCACCGCCACCCCTCTCCTTCCTCATCTCCTTCTCATCCAACTCATTCAAATTCAATCCACCAATCCCCCTACCCACACTCCCACTCCCACTCCCCATCTCTCTCTCATGCAAATCCATACCCTCTGCACTCCCTTCTCTCCCAATCCTCTCACCCTGCGCAAATTGTTCCTTCAACAATTGTCTCGCAACCTCTTCTTCCGTCGCGTCCATCAATCTTCTTTTTCTTTTTCTTTCTTTCTCCTGTCTTCCAAACTATCTCGAAAAACAATCTTGAATGTAGAGAAATGAGATTTGCCCCGTTCACGATTAATAATTGTATCCTCACAAAAGCGAAACTTACGCGCCTTATGCACCTTTCCTTTCGATGAAGAAACGCGTCGGAAAAGTTCCTTGCCTTTTTTTCCTCCCTTTTCTTTCCTCTATTTCCTTTTCTTCGATTCTTGCGCCCCAGTATGTAGAATCGAACGTAAACCCAAACCCAAACCCAGATTCAGATCTGGAGAGTACCACAAATTCCTTTATCGTGTATCTATATTTCTATCTCCGTCTTTAGTCTCTTTCTGCGATAGAGAAAAGATTTCGATATCTGGGAATGTGGATGTTGATGTGTGTTTGCTTCGATTTCGCTCACTTTCTCTCCCTCAATCTCCAATCCACAATCTCGTAAACCCAAAACCGCACGCGCACACAAAATTCCCCTTCCCTCTCCCCTCTCACCAACACATATCAAAACAAAACAATCCTTACAATTCCCCACGTGATGAATTTATTTCCCATTAATCAATCTCTTGATCAATCGATTTCTCGATTTCTCGATTTCTCAAATAACCGAATAGCTGAATAGTTGAAACGTATCTCCACGTAGAAAATGCGTACTCGTTGATTCTTCTCCGCTTGTAGAATTCTAATAAAAAGGCGTGCGATGCAGGTGTATTTGGTCTTTGGTCTACCTACCTCCTAGGTACGTCCAGGTATCTAGGTAGCAATTTACCGAGAGAAAAGATGAAGAAAGTAAATTAAAGTAAAGTGAAGAAAAGTCAGTGAAGTACCTAGGTAATCAAAGTAAACTTCACTTCACTTCACTTCGCAACCCGAACAATCTTGGAAACTTAGAATCTTAGAATCTTTGTAAGAGAAAAGTAAATTAAAGTGAAAGCTACCTAGTATTTTTTTTCTCCCAAAATACCTAGATACTTACTCACTAGATACCTTCAAAGAAAAAATCTCATCGGTCCATGAAAGAACCTTAAGGGATTGGAAAAGAAAGAAGATATGCATATGTGCATATATACATGCATGTAATATATATGCAGATATAAATACAAATACAGGTACTGGTACGGATACAGCATGTACGTTTCCGCGAGATGTATATGCAAATACAAATACAAATGTAAATACAAATTGCCTACCTAGGTACGAGTGCGGATTCAGTATCTCTCTTGAAGGTAAATAGAAACAGAAATTCAATAAGATATTGCATTACTCCATTTATTTTACTAATAACAATTAAAAAGGCCAAGTACCTACTACTCGTAATTCCATACACAATCTTACACATACGTCCCATCTCCTCCAGATCCTTCCCATCCTAAACCTCCTCACCGACCATAATCCCATTCAAAACATCCACCATCTCCTGACCATCACACTTGCATAAACTTTCTAACTCCCCACTCACCAATCACACCTGCCACTCCAGCACCCACAACAATCCAAGTCCATTCATTTTTCAACTCCTCTACACGGGGCCAGAAACTATTCTTCTCCATCTTGTAACTTTTCAAATCCTTTGCTTTTTTCAAATCTCCTTCCTCATATCTCTCTTCCTGACTTTTCTCATTCTGTCCATCTCCTCCTACATATCTCAAGAACGCATAGTTCGCGAGAGGAGCTAAAAGCATGAGAGGATGGAAAATTCCTGCTCCATAAAGAATGAGTGGGAAAGAGGCATGGATAAGTGCATCTCCTAGATAGCTATGGAGGGAGATTCGTGTTAGTTTTGTACTAAGTAATCACGTAACGACAGAATGAAAGAAGAGGGCAAAGAAAAATACATACTTTGGATGTCTAACAATACTCCAAACACCATCTCTCAATAATCCCACCGTTCGTTCCTTCTTGTGACTCTCCAACTGCCAATCCGCACCCGCTTCCAAAGCAAATCCGGTCGTGAAAAGAAATACCCCAGCCGCATTCGCCACTTGCCAACCAGGATTACCAGGAAGTGGTTGATTTCCAATCAGCACTTCAGGCGCCGCCAAACTCATCGCAAAGGGAAGCGCAATGATAGATTGTACGAGTGCTTCTGGCAGAAATGTCGAAAAGAGTGTTTTGTTCCAAAAGTCTCTTGTTTTCGGTAAAGAAGTATAGCGCGCGTCATCTTCACCGCGAGAGATAGCTCGCGATGTGATGCGGTAGAAGAGACGGAGAGACCAGGCTGTGAGACCTGCCATGATGAGTTTTTGAGGATATGCGAGATGGGTCCATGTTTGTGAGATGTCGAAGTTGTGGCGTTCGAGTGCAAGGGTCCAGGAAGTGATGAGGGGACCGAGGGGCCAGAGGATATCTTTGAGATCGAGTCGGTTGGTGAGACGAGCGATGGTGTATGAGATGATCGAGAGGGTTGTGTTGGTGGTTAAAGCGGGAAGGAAACTACGTTGGAGTAGACCAATTGCTGTAGCGTTAACTTGTGGATTCCATGGTGGAATGATAGAAGAGTTAGATCCAAAGCGATCTTGTTCTGAGACGGCAGAGTTGGAAGTATTGTTTGTAGATGCCTTGCCTATCATCGGTCGTCAATTGAAAGATTCTTTGTTGAATTGAGCGACGGGCAGGAAAGCTTACCTAGACTTGCCAAATTCCATTTCGATACCTTCTCTGTTACTTTCTCAGTAGGAATAGGATGGCCTCCAAAATGAGAAGCATGTGTATCTTGTTCGGCCATATTTAATTGCAATCTACCTTAATGCCGTGTTAGGGTAGATGTGTTGAAACTTCTCATATTTTACAAATAAGAAATGCTTTCTTTGCTTCAACGTCAAAGAGCTCCTTGCCCCTCATTCCAAAGAACGTCGTTTCAATGACGTTATTGCTCCACCTACCTTTCGGAGCTTCATTCCGTCAATGATAGCTGCAGCTTACCCCATGTAAAACATTAGAGATATAATCTAAAAAGGTACCACAACTCTGTTATATATATCATTCTCATCTGAAATTCATCGTATCAAATTTATCAAAATTACCGTCTCATATGAATTTCCAAACAAAAGTATGAGCTGGTATCAACTGAGACATGGGATGAAGAGAGTTGTAATTATGCGGTTGTCGAAAAGTTCAGAATGATAAGTTGAAATGCTTAGTCAACCCCACCCAATAGCTCTATCTCTAAAACCTCATCTACTCCGACTTTATTAGCCAGATGCCCAGGTAACGCAGAAGATGTACTTCAGCATGTATTCAAATCTAAAGATCTAATGTATATTCTGATCAACATTTCTACTTTACCTCAACAGCTTTATCTGTGATTCTCGCAACATCCTTCTCATCTCCAACTCTTGTTTCAACCTCCTTACTCAAATCTCCCAATTCCACCTCTGTCTCTCCATTTCCTACATCTCTTCTTCCAACTCTCCCCTGCTCAACCCATCTTCTCCATGGCCCATAGAGTAATACACTTGCGCCTCCAAAAACTACAAAAGCTCCACAGATACCTCCCCCAATAACATCGAAGTGATCACCTGCAGCATTAACTCCATCCCAGAAAGGTCCTGTTGAGAAATTCGCTATTAAGGAGAGTAATTGGATGACTCCAATACAAATAGCCACGAGGACTGTAATACCTGTTAGGACAATTGAGTAGTAGAGAATAGCTATTGTGTCGCGGGCGAGAGATGTGGATGTGTAGAGCGTCATCATTAGTGCGCCGTCGGTGGTGTCGATTAGACACATGCCAGCTATTGATTTTCTTAGTACCATGCATCCCAGAAAATATCTATACCGTAATATAGTGTTATTCGAATGATAAAAAAGTAAACAATCATACCAGTAAACAAAACAGGAAATATCAATATCAGCCAAATATTGGTTCCTTTAGCACCCTCAACAGATGCAATTCCCAGAACTGCAATCTCACTACTGGTATCAAAACCCAGTCCGAACAATACTCCCAGAGGGTACATTTTCCATGGACGATCAATTACTTTGAAAACTCTTCGAAGAACTCTCATCATAATTCCTCCGCCATCAAAACCCAATCCCGTCTCACCTCCATCTCCATCAACTTCTTCCCTCAGAACTGCTCGTAATTTAACCACCAATTTCCATAAAATCCATGCATTTCCAATTCCAAGTATAATGAGTACACCAGCAGATACACCGGTGCCGATGATTCCACCTATATTACTAAAAGTATTGAAGCGTGACTCAAGAGCGCCAGAAGTGGCTGCAACGACGATACAGGTTATAATTACGATAGTGGAGTGGCCTAGCGAGAACCAAGTACCAACTGTCACTGGCTGAGATGTATGAGGAGAGCCGGAAGCGATGAGACGACGGGTCATCAGATCGATGGCGGATATGTGGTCGGCATCACTAGGTTTGATGAGTCGGAGTTTCAAAATGGAGAATCACATGATCATAAGGTAAAAGATGGTTTTGAAGAATCAGAAATCAGGACTTACAGAGCATGTCTCAAACCAAATGTATATGAAAGTACAGCAGATGAAGATAGAAGTGGATGGGAACGTAAAACAATAGCCACTGCCACCCAAATAATGATATTGATGAAAATCAAAATGGATATGATCCTAACTGCGGGGTAGGGCAGGAAGCGAATTTGAGGGGGTAGACGAGCAATCAAGGGATGAAGACATGTTGGCGGTCTAGGAGACATTTCAAAGGAATATGAGATGCAAAGAAGATACTTCCTAACTGTAACATCCAGTGAAACAAGTACAGTTGTACAAAACTAAAGATGAAATTTTGCAGAAAAAAATAATGAAGTTTGAATACCCCACCATTGCCGCCAGTGTTGCAATATTTGGTCTATGAAGGTCAACGTATCAATACTAATCGGGGACCGCCGACTGGACATTGATAAGATAATGAAACTTCATTACCTATTTCGATCGAGTATGTCTGAATGCGAAAGACTTGGCAAGAGAGGAAAAATTTCAACATTGAAGTTGAGGATATATGTCTCGACTTCAGAATCAATTCGGAGGTCCCTCTTCTGTGTACAGAGTATGTAATGAATGCAATTAAGTGCTTCCAAAGGTTGCTCGATGGACCTCGGGAGCCAAGAACAGCATTCCAGTTCATTTGATTGAATTGAGCCACCAAGCATATGGAGAGATGACACTGGCAAAAAGCCTCAATCCCAACCACCTTTTGATCTCAATTCCGCAAGAGTCGAGACCCGTAAATGGTAAATGTGAGAACCAATGTGAGATTCAGAAATGTAGGAGAAGGTTTTGATGAGATGCAAGGTGCTGAATAAGTCGCCAATCGTCAAACAATTTCTGAGCGTGATCTTAATAGAAGTCGACCAAGAACAACCTTGAGAGGTTCAATATGTCTTGGTGAATATGAATCTGAGTGTGAGTACACCCACCGCATGAATAATCTGTATTGTAACACTAACTAACTCACACACACGAACAAGGAGCATTACCTCTTTTATCCCACGATGCGAATTCCAAACTTCTCTATTGAGATCCAAAAATATGATATCACGAATTGGTTCAACTTCGGATGTCGAAATGTTTGTCAAATGATTAATAAATCGTAGCTAGTGATTGTACCTATCTATACTTGGTACACTTCACTCCCACAAATGTAATGAATGTGGAAATAGTAACATCATGAGTAACATCATAACTTCATAAGTAACCACAAGTTCTTCCCTTCCGGGCCGAATAAATCTCCTTATTCTTTCATCAAGTTTCAAGCCGGAGAAAGTGTGGAATCTCAATCCATTAAAAGCTTTAAAGTTGATCCACACTCCTTCTGCTGCTCCCACTACCATGCATGCATGTAACGGATTCCGATTGTGCCGCCAAACATCTAGATGATTTCTTTGATGAATTTGTTGGTTGTCAGGGGTTTGCTTTGGCTTGTTTTCTGTTTTCTTTTCGGTGGATATAACCTTAGGTATCGAGAACTTTTAGTGCGGGGGATGGGACTTGGGATTTTTTGATGATGATGATGATGATGATGATGATGATGATGATGATGATGATGATAATGATGTCATTCTGGAGGGGGAGTACCCGTAAATGTCAGAGTGAAGAAAGAAGTGAAGAAAGAAGTGAAGAAAGAAATTCAAACACCATGATATTTACGAGTAATAAGGAATGATAAGCGGTAAATAAGCGGTAAATAAGTACTAAATAAATTAAATAAATAAATAAATGAAAACGTAAATACATACCTATACAAATAAATAGATGAATAAGAAGGCTTTATAACTAATTCAAATACCATAATACATAATACATAATGCACAATACACAATACACAATACACAATACAACACCTACCACCTAAGTATTCGTATACGAGTACATCTATCGTAAACTATCAAGGTACCCTTCTTCTTCTTCTTTCTCATCATCATCTCGATGCATCATGATTCCATAATCAAACGTCATTGCTCCATTCGTACGAGTACTGTGAGGTCTGCCCCGCATTTAGTTCCCTTCAGAATCAGAACTTCAGAATCCAGATAGTACGCTGAGAGGAAAAGCCGCAAGCGTCTATCGACCTACCTACCCTACCTAGTACTATCTACTAGATACGTACCTACCTTGTCTGGATCTTTGAATCTAGTGCCTTCTTTTGGTCGAGACTGTGAGAACCTGGTCAGGTAAAGACCGAGAGAGAGAAGAAAAGAAAGAAAAAAAGAATAAATACAAGTCATCTTCCCCTCTTCCTTTTCTTTTCTTTCTTCTTCATACATACATACAAAAACTTCTTTTTTCAAAGCTTCAAGAACAATTTCTCGACTTCAACTCTTCCTCTTTTATAATACACTCAATCATCATGCCTATTTCCATCCCAAAAGCTGATTCACTCAAGGACCTCTTCTCCCTAAAGGGAAAGGTTGTCATCATCACCGGTGCTTCCGGACCCAAGGGAATGGGCATTGAAGCTGCACGAGGATGTGCCGAGATGGGAGCTGATGTCGCCATCACATACTCTTCCCGTCCCGAGGGAGGTGAGAAGAACGCCAAGGAATTGGCCGAGAAATACGGTGTCAAGGCTAAGGCATACAAGTTGGACATTGGTGATTATGCCAGCGTAGAGAAGTTGGTTGCCGATGTTGTCAAGGAATTCGGAAAGGTCGATGCATTCATTGCCAACGCTGGTCGAACTGCTGATAGCGGTATTCTCGATGGAACCGTCGAGGCTTGTAAGTTATTTCCCTAACGCTACTTTTCCTTGAGAATGAACTATCACTAATAATCATCTTTAGGGAACGAGGTCATTCAAACCGATCTTAACGGAACCTTCCACTGCGCAAAGGCTGTTGGACACCACTTCAAGGAGCGTGGAACTGGTTCCTTCGTCATCACCGCTTCGATGTCCGGTCACATCGCCAACTTCCCACAAGAACAAACCTCATACAACGTTGCCAAGGCAGGATGTATTCATATGGCACGCTCTCTCGCCAACGAATGGCGCGATTTCGCCCGTGTCAACTCTATCTCCCCAGGTTACATTGACACTGGTCTTTCTGACTTTGTCGACCAAAAGACTCAAGCTTTGTGGAAGTCTATGATCCCTATGGGTCGTGATGGTGAAGCCAAGGAGTTGAAGGGTGCCTATGTCTACTTGGTATCTGATGCTTCCACCTATACCACTGGAGCTGATATCGTCATTGACGGTGGTTACTGCTGCAGATAAATGTATTATATCTATATTTTCATGACATGACTGGGATGAAAGGAATGGCTGGGTTTTGGAGTTTGCCACAAAAAATGATGGCTGATATTTTAGCGATATTCGATTGAAATGAAAAGCAATTTTTTCTCGATAATAATCTTTCTTGGAGTGTATACAACATGATGATATGTGATCAAAACCACTTCAAGTGACAGTAATATCTACATCTTGACATGTAATCTGTAAAATGACTGCATTCTTAGCTGACAGGGACGACATACTAATACCTATAATTGAACATTCTCTCCATCAGATATCCAAGTCATTAGATATTCACAACTATATACTATATACTACATACTAGATATCTACATATCATATCTACATATTGGCAAACCTAAACTAGAAGAGGAAGAATTCTCTCACTTCCCCTGCCTACCTACTTCACCTACTCCAATCAATTATATTAAATGAAAAGAAAATATTACATTATAGTAAAGTACTGGTAGTATAAAAACACATAGAACATAGATTTTATCACACCATCGACACAATAGAGTACATTTCAAGACAGTACATTACAACACAACACAGTCAAAACGATCAATTTCCATGCTAGTAAAACATAACATAACACAATATAATATAACACAATATGATTGATATACTAGAATCTACCTCATCTATCTAGATATATATCGAGAAATCTAAAATAAAAGACTATTCTAGAATCTACTCCACTACCCAAGGAGGTGAGTTAGGTCGGTAAACATATGTATATAGTTGTGATTCCCAATTCTCTATTTTATCCGCTGAAAACGAAATGAAACGCCTACTACGCCATGCCGCGCCATCCATGCCATTTTATAGGTATCTAGCCTTCTATCCTTGCTTCTATCTATCTATACATCAAATTTATCCATCAACTAGCCAATGAAATTCATAGATGCTTCGTGCTTGTGTTTTGAGTCGTCGTGGCGTGGATATATGTACTTGTGAAACATGACGGGAAACATGTCGTTCACCACATCATTAGCCATATACATATCAACAAATATTATAAAGATCATCAGTTTCTGCCACCTCTACCACCACCTCTACCGCCTCTACCACCTCTTCCTCCACTCCCGGCACTTCTTCCCTCACCACCACCACCACCACCACCACCACCACCACCTCTTCCTCCTCCGTGTGGAACTCTAGGAGGATCTGGAATAATAGTCAAACCTGGAGTGCCCTTAAGTCCCATCTTTCCCACAATGCCTCTGTAAAGAGTTGGCGTCTCTGGTGCACCCAATCCCTCCTTTGCATAAACATTGCCTTGACGCACTAACTCCGCATTATCCCACTTCATAAGTTTGAGATGGTTTTTATAGTATCCCAACCAAGCTTGATATGTCTTTGAATGATTATCCATCTTTGATGCTATTCTTAAAACATCGTTTGCAGAGCTCAGATCTGCGGGTGTTGGTAGAAATTGAATTTCTTTCAGTGTCCATTTTGGAAATGCGCCTTCGGCATCTGTGACGATGAATACACCACGACCTTCTTTGCCTGCTCTGGCTGTACGACCTAGACGATGAATGTAAGATTCTTTATCGGCTGGAATGCCAACTTGAAAGACGTTAGTGACGCCCGGGAAATCCATTCCACGAGCAACTACATCTGTAGCTACAAGAATACCATTTTTGGCTTCACGATAATCGTTTGTGACTTTTGTTCTCTTACTTTGAGATACACGAGAATGTAATGCGGTGATGGGTGGGAGATCTGATAGTTGAGAGAGAATATCGGCGTAGAAATCTACAAGGGCAGCGGTAGGCGCAAAGACAATAGCCTTGAAGCTATCCTTACCTTCCAATTTCATTTCTTCGCGAATAGAACCTACCATTGCTGGGGCCACATCAGAGAAATTTGGAACGGTAACGAGATGTTGAGGAACACGTTCATGAGTATTGACCTCTCCCTTAGGAATGGTGGAAATGAACTTGTAATCTTTTGAGAGAACCAAGTGAGCGACCTTTTCAACATGAGGAGCAATAGTGGCGGAGAAGAGCATTCCTTGTCTGTTGGTTTTGGCCTTGTCTGGGAGACATCTGATAATATCTTTAATGGCATTCATAAATCCCATATCGAGTAATCTATCTGCCTCGTCAAGAACGATAGTATCGAGATTGCGGAAAGCATCGATAATTCTTTCATCATTAAGATGGTCGTATAATCGACCTGGAGTGGCAATAAGAATATTGCAGCCCTTCAAAATATTCTTCTCTTCTGTAGTTTTGTTGGTACCACCGATGGCAAATCCAACTTTATAATAAGGAAGGCGTTGTAGTAATTGACTCGCTTCCTTTGCTATTTGCTGCGCAAGTTCTCTCGTTGGTGTCATGACTAACAGAGAAATTCCATCTTGAGGACGTCTCTGTTTGTTAATAAGTGTTTGAATCGCAGGAATGAGAAAAGCAATAGTTTTTCCAGTTCCAGTCTTAGCCTGTGCCAAACAATCTGCACGTTCTGAAAGTAAAGGACGAAGAGTTGCGGCTTGAACCGGCATCATATGGTCGAATTTTAAGTCTTCAGTAATGGTCTGGAGAAGAATTGGGTTGAGGAGATTTTCAGCACCGAGATCTGCGAATCGTGGAGTATCGAGAGGGACTGCAGTGGTAAGTGGAGGAGCGGCAACTGCAGCCATTTCTTCTGCAAAGGACGCAGAAGTAGAAAATGCTGCGTTTTGAATAGGTGATGCATTTTGGGTAGGTAATACATTTTGAGCATTGCTGCCACCTCTGGCATTTCTGGCATTTCCTCTGCTACTTGCTAATTGAGAAGAATAACGACCTCTACGAGGTTGCTTTCTAGCTCTAGGATTTGGTGGGGATGACATTGCAATTGAAATCGAACGTAGAAGCCCAAGACGATTTTGGTTGATGGTTTTGTAAAGGGAAAGCATTGAGAGAGCCTGGACTTTTTGAGTTGGGGTTGTCACAATTTCTTTATTGGAAAATTTCCTAATTAGTGAATAAGGCTAACATCAGCCGTACTTCAGCCTTGTTCCTCACATTTGATCTCAGCCAATGAATTTCATACTTTACAAAGAGTCTATTAATTCCTTGACGTAGGATTTATTTTGAGTATTTTTTGAATAGTATTATTTTTAGAAACGATGAGTGTAAATCAAAGAATTTATTTAAATGAATGATTACTAAGATTATTAGACAATTTTAATATCCTCAGGTTTATCCTTTCTAGAGATGCATTTTGATACAGGGTCCTACCAAAACGCCTGGTATCTACCACCCTTCCCATCCTCCATGGAAATCAATACCGGCCCAGTATACTCCCGTCTCCCATCTTGAACGCCAAATATTTAGTGTAGATCTGGATTATGCCTTATTTTTCTCTTGCTCATGCTTTTTCTCCAATTGCTTCTCAATCAATTCCGCGACCTTCTTTGAATCAGTCTCCATTTCTCCATCACCTTCCCCTTCGCCGATTCCTCTCAATGACCCAAAAATCCAGCACTCCTTCAATTCTCGTGTCAACTTTAAAAGGTCTTCCGCTGCGCTTGTCTGCTCATAAAATTATCAGTGATATTCACTAAGCTTGTCCACGGATACTATAGAAACTAGGTAAATGAAATAAGAATAAACGTACCAAGGCATTACTCTCAACCTCCATTCTCAATCCCTCTGCAGCTGCGGTCTCCTTCGTAAATGCATCTTCAGTAGGTAATGCAGCAAGCTTAACAAGATTCTGAAAACGGATAAGGAGAGCAGCGATAGCACGTTCCTGGCGGTCTATAAGTTCGTCAGCTTTGGATCTGCGTAGTTCGGCTATGTTATCAGCTGAGCCATTATTGTGAACAGTTTCGTGTTTGTGAACTGGATCATCTCGACTCGGTTTTTCATCTTCGGCAACTGGCTCGGTGGCTGGTGTGACTTCATTGTTGTCGATTAGTTCAGTGATTGATGCAGCTTCCTTGTTGGCAACTGGCTCGGCGATCGCTGTGACTTCGTCGGGCAAGTTGGGGCGTGAAACATCTTGGTGCAACATGCCATTGTCGAGGACTAGTTCTTGTAATTCTGCGAACTCGCTTGCTGTGACTCCGTTGGGCAAGTTTGAATTTGGATCATCTTGGTGTAACATGCCATTGTCAAAGACTGATTCAGGTAATTCTGGGAAGTCTGGGAATTCGTTTGCTGCGAATGCGTTGGGCAAGGGAAACCTTGATTCATCCCCATCGTCTAGAAGATTTCCCATGGACAAATCATTTTGAACCACTTGTGCATAATGATCATTTGGACGCAACATTTCGTCACTGGAAATTGGTTGCGCGGTTGCTGTGACTTCGTCGAGCAAGCCTGGTATGGATACATCTTCAAAATTTAAGGATACTTCCATGTGTAAACCACTTTGGGTCATTTGTGCAGAAGAAACCTCTTGGCGCATCGTGCCGTCGTCAAAAACTAGTTCGTTGGCTGTTGTGACCTCCCTGGACAAACCGAGACTTGCATTTTCTTGGTGCGACCCGTGATTGTTGAAGACTGGTCCACCAAATCCCATTACCTCGTTTGCTGCATCTTCATTAAGCAAGCTGGAGTTTGTGATATTTTCGCTAGCAAACTCAATGGGAGATTGTAGACGCATCCTAACTCCACTGTAGGGTAAAGCGCTTGGCGCATTTTCGCTAATAGACCCAACAGGCTGTAGAGGTATATTAAGCCCGTAAGTTAGAGCGCTAATGGGTTGAGAAGGCACAACTCCGAGTTGATGGCCACTAGAAGAAGGCATGGCAACCTCTGGACCAGGTATCCATGACATAGGCTCAGTCGCTACGGCGTTGGTAGATTGAATCATAGATGAGCCGGAGACCATTGGCCAATTGGCCATGTCATTATTATCGAAGGGCATGCTGGAAATTGGCCCGTAGCCAGCAGAATTCGATGTATCGGTGACGCTGTATTCATAGATTCTAGTGAGATGACTTGAATGATGACTAGCCGGCGCTCCAGACATTTGCTCACTGCCATGAGGAAGTAGAAAGTTGGCGGCATTAGCCTCATTGATTTGCATAGAATCACTGGAGATCGCTCTAGCCAGAACTCCAGGGCGAGAAGAAGCTGAGGAATCGATTCCATTGTCTTCATTGACTCTGGTGAAATCACTAGTCGCAATTGAATTACCGAAATCCGTTCCTGTAATGTCACCGCGAGAAGAATCCCAAAGATCGCGATCACCAGTCATTTTGAATTTGAGTTGTGTTTGCTGTGTTATCGATTTTGCTCTGATCACTGTCGAGATCGTGATTGTACCGATTGATCAAGTCGATGATTGATTGCGTTTAAATCATGAGAGTTGTAAATGAATAGTAATAACTTACCAATTAAAGCAGCTGTAGTCTGCTGCGTACCTTCCATCTTGGTTAAAAATATATAAGTACGGTTTGCAATTATGAGATGCGATGCAATGTGGGAGTGAAGTAAAGTCTAAAATGATAGAGTGAATGTGAAGTTAAGAAAGGAAAGCTTGAAGCTCTCTTATGCAAGGTGCCCCTCTTTTAGTGCGCCCCACTTAAGATTCACCGTTCGTTCCCAACTTCCCCCCTTGCCAATCTATTTGATTCGCGCCCCGCAGCCATCATTGTTGTACTTGTTGTCGTGTCAAAAGTTCCGGATTTTTGGATTATTAAATACAATTAATCGAACACATCCATCTTTCTTTTCAATTAAATTCTACAGTGTCACAGACAAGTCCTTCAAAATGCAGTCTGGAATAACAGGTATAGCAGCATCTCAATGTTGTTCTGAGTAGAGCTAACCGCTGTATTCTCACAGCTTCCCAAGAACTTCACACGGCGTTCAAGACGTTCGTATCTACGGAATCGCAAAGAGGTCTTCTCTGTACCATCACTGGGGAAAGACTCACCCCTTCCGCTATCCTCGAACCATCCACATCATCCTTCGACAATGATCTCGACCTCCTAGCCCCTCATCTCCAAGAAAAAGCTGCTTTATATATAATACTTCGTCGCTATCCCTCCAATGATCCCGCCCCTTTCGTTGCCATAACCTATGTTCCCGACTCTGCGCCTGTGCGTCAGAAGATGCTGTTCGCTTCTACACGTCTTACCTTGGTTCGAGAATTGGGAATCGAGCGATTCAGAGAAACAATATTCGCGACTATGAAGGAAGAGTTGACAAAGGAAGGGTTCGCTAAGCATGACAAGCATGTTAAATTGGCCGCGCCATTGACAGAGGAAGAACAAAGTCTGGGTGAGGTAAAGAGGAAGGAGGCAGAAGAAGGCAGAGGTATGAATGAGAGGAAGAGTCATGTAAGTAGCGGCATTAGTATGCCAGCTACACCAGATGCATTAGAAGCCTTAAAGGGGCTCAATCAGGACGGCGCACATAATTTGGTTCAGATTGTAAGTTTCATTGTGCCTGGGATTGATATTTAATGGCTAATAAGCCCCAGAAAATGAACATTGCGCAAGAGACCATGGAACTTGCTTCAAAGACACAAACATCTATCTCAGAGCTCAGCAGCACTATATCTGCCACCGAGCCTCGATTCTCTTTCTATCGCTATACTCACGACCATAACGGCTCAACTTCCTCTCCAATACTATTCATTTATACTTGCCCTTCAGGATCCAAGATAAAAGAACGAATGATCTATGCATCATCGTCTCGATCCGCTCAACAATTAGCTGAATCAGAGGCAGGACTCACCATTGAGAAAAGACTCGAAGCTGGATCTCCTGAGGATATTTCTCAAGAGAGTATCGATTCAGATTTACATCCTAAGGCAGAGGTGAAGAAAGCGTTTGCCAGACCTAAGAGACCTGGAAGAGCATAGATATTTAGGATAAATCTCGACTCCTGGCACATTATTAAGCGGAAGAAAAATATGAATTTGGTTAAAGATTTCATGGGTGCTCCCTCTCTCCTATACGAGACGATATTTATGCGAAATGATCATTCTGAGAGTACCATATCATAAAGCGGCATTATATTTCCATACTTTCTATCCGAACGTCTCGTGAACTCTGGAAATGCAATCAAAAAATCCAGTTATCCTTCTATCAACACATATGCCCATTCACTCTTCATACTTCCCCCCAAACAATGGCATATCGCTATGCTCCAACTTCTCCTTCAAAAATTCATAAACTGTAAATGTGACAGCCTGGCCCGGCGCAACTCGCATTATCCGCGGTGTAATTCCCTTATAAAACGCATGAAATCCTTCCTGTCTAAACATATCTCCTGCAATAGTTTTTATCCTACTAAGTGCCGTTTCTCCAGGTACTCCAGGAGTTTTCTGTAAACGTGTCTTGATGGTATCGATAGGTGCGTTAGATAGAGGACCCATAGCTCCAGATACCAGACCTATTAACGTAGTTTGGTAGGAGGGGATGGGGGAGTTGGAGTATTGTGGTTGCCATTTCTGGAGCAGTTCTTTGAACTCGGTATAGGCGGTGAAGTTTACAGCTTGATTTGAACCTGGGAGAGGGTTAGTATGAGGACTGAATTGCAGACCACTAAAACTGTGCTTCGTCTGGGGAACGTGGTGGGGAAAATGCGGGGATAGTGGAATATGAAATAATTGCTAACAAGGGAGAAAACATACCTTGCCGTAAAGCGGTTAAAGATATTCCACGATATAGAGCACCGAATCCTTCTTCTTTTACAACTGTATACAATGCATGTGCAGCATTACGATATTTTGGTATATCGAGAGGATCAGCCATACTGTGGTGTTGGGCTTGAAGACGAATCTTTATTACTTCCATGGGTGTTACAACGGCGACGGCTTCGGTCACACCTGCTGCTAGACCAGCTATAGAAGGTGGTATATTAGCATTCTGTCAATTTTTTCTGTGAAGCACCTGTATGTATCTCTGGATATTCTTTCATATACCCAGGAATCATAAGAAGGGTAGACATACCCAAAAATGTAGCCCTTCCACTAACAACCCCGGTCTCCTGATCCGCTAGCCACTTCTTGTATGTCTCGAAACTTGTGAATCTTATAGCCATCTTCGGTACAATACCAGTTATAACGGCACCGAGTCCTTTGTAGAGACCGAGGGGAGTTTCGCGCTTCATAATCTCGGCACCTGTGGTGATGAATCCTCGTTTGGGAGCGCCAGGAGCGCGTGCCCGGCGAGAAAGTTGCATACGAACTTTTATTGTGTCTATTGGACGAGAATTGGTTAGATTTCGAGGAGTAGTTGGGAAGAGTGTGGAATGAATGGGTAATTGGGGAGAAGCGCACCTAAAGGATGGCATACAAGGGCCTCCATCATTCCTGCGGCTCCACCAGCTATATGCTGTTAGACGATATTCAATTGAAGTTTATGTTCGTGGAGTTAGTGACTCACCGATAAGATTTGTGGCCGCTGAGGCTGGTCTCTTGCCATCTGTGCCTTTGACACTTTTCGCTGACATGTTGGGTATATATTACCTCTTCGCAGAGGATTTGTGTAACTGTACAAGTTTGATCAAATCTAAAGCTCTGATTGAGACCAATGTATCTCAATATTGTAGGTATATTTGTAGGTATATCGATATAGCAACTATGCGTAATGGATGCTCTATCTCTCTAACATGTGAAGGTGCACTTCTATATTGAAGTTTGCGAATTCAAGAGAAATTCAGAAGTAATAAGATAAAAATGAGTCAAAAAGCAGCTTGCTTTTACTTCGTAGAAACAAGAGAATAATAGAAGTAGATAAAGCCTCAATGCTAGTCGCTCAAGTGTATATATGAGTCTACATCTGTTCCGTTTGCGTTCGTCCAGCTGGGCCGAGCTATCTTGTCCCGCGGCCCATCTCTTCCCTCAAGCCAAGTCCTGTTGTATCTTCACAGCCTTGCATGAATAGGGAAAAGGAATGGGCTTCCAATTGAAAGTTGTGGAGCCCCGGACTCGGATGGTAGCTAAGAAATACTAAGCTTGTGCTTGGTCTTCGACGTGCCGGTTGGTAGCTCGGTTCAACGGATATAGATTTTAGGGGATGTGCAGCCAGGGACGCCCGAAGCAGCGGAGCGTTAAGCTTGATTTTATTAGTATGGAGGGGTAAATGCCGAATCTTGATATAAAAACTAGATACAAACTTGCAAACTTACCATCGTTGGACTTACCATTGGGGCGATTTGGAGTGGTTGAGAAATTGATTTCATTATTCAACATGCCAAATGCAATTGAGACAAAGGATGAATGCGGTTGTGTTTCTTCCATTGTCGCAAATGCTCTGTTCCTCTTGGCTTCATCTTCCAAGCATTGTTTTCGAGCATCTGACGTCTTACTTTCCATTGACGTGTAGTACCGAGCTTCCTTCAAGACAGGATAATCTATTTTGAGATAATGGGTCAAGTTACTCAGATAAGCTTGTGATAACGCGGGGGTCGGTCAATACCGGAGGCGGAAGATGAAGGAGCTTTTCAATTGAACCGAGGTTTATTGTCGAAACGTCACGTGATTTTGAAATCCAATATTCGAGTCGGATAAGATGGTTGTGGTCGGAAGAGATACTTCGATGCGATGAGACGAAAGTATTCAGCTTGTGGATGAACAATGGTAGGGTGTATGAGATCTTGACTCGTGGATGAGAACAATTAGATTGTTTGAGTCGTGATCGTTTCCGTTGATTTGAGAGGTTTCTCTATCCACTGGCCCGGAGATCATGCTGCTGGACCAGCAATGTTTTCTCCCAACACAAGACAATCAATCGTCAACACTCCATGGTGGCTGGTATATGTTTGGGACTATCGCATGAAGCTTAATCGAAAGACTCACAAAATAAGTCTGCCATTGATGTTTTATATCCAGAGGTTTATATCTTCATCTACAAGGGTGGCCTAAAAATATTGTTGCAAATAGGCACATAGACCATATTGAATTAGGAAGGTGGCAGGAAGGTTAAGGTAAATTGCTCCTTTAAACAAATGGGTTGCCCTTTGAAATCTCCACATCATGGAGCACAACAGCTTTCAGCGAACCACAAGTTCGCAAGTAGGATTTGGTACGCACCAATCGTACATACGAGTGGACATGCATGCGCAATTGCATGTACAACTGAGGCAAATGTCAGCACGACAATCCTCCGTCCCATCTTCTGTTTGTGTTGTATTTTAACTTTTGTTGCTTATTTTTGTTGGTTTTTTCTTTTGAACCCTCAAATTTGATTTTGTGTCAAAGAAATATAGTACGGCATTGGCTGTCTGTCTATATTCTTAACGTTTGTCTCTTTTTTTGGTTTCCCTGCTCAGTGTACAGTGTGATTCGCGACCAGATGTTACGAGCGGGCGTAGAGGAAGAGGGGCTACCAGCTGAAGACAGATTGGATGACTTGGATTATATGGATCTGGACGATGAATTTCTCGAAGACAGCGAAACTGCTTTACTTCGAGAATCAGATGCGAAAGAGAAAGATGCGATGGAAGTTGGAAATTTATACTTAATGTGTCTGGCCATTAGCACTGGCGGGTAAATACCCCGCCTTGATATTCGTTCTATCATTCATTGTTGACACTCGGTAGACTTCAAGTGATATGGACGGCCATTATGTCTCAAGGCTCTGTAAGCATTTGTCTAATATTTCTATATCCTTAATGATGCGCATAACTAATTATTCAAGCCTTACCTGGTCTCGCTCTCGGTTCCCAGCTACCTCATATCCCTAGTTTGGCTAGCTGGACCCCTCTCTGGTGCAATCGTCCAACCATACATCGGCATTCTATCTGATCGCTCTCAACACTATTTCGGCCGTCGTCGACCATTCATTATCATTGGCACTATCGCAACCATTATCTGTATCCTCGCACTTCCTTGGACAACTGACCTGATATCATACCTCTTTGCTTTTTTTGGAAGCTCCCCCGTTGGTCGCAGCGCAATGATATGTAAAGGGCTAACCGCAGCTGCTTGGATATGGGCTCTAAACATCGCAATTCAACCCGTGCAAGGAGGGCTCAGGGCAATTATCGTAGACTGTGTTCCACCGAAACAACAAGTAAAAGCTTGCGGCTATGCAAGTGCTGCTGCCGGAATTGGTTCAATTTTAGGGTACACTGCCGGCTATGTTTCTCTACCGAAATATTTACCTTGGCTTGGCGACACTCAATTAAAAGGGCTTTGTCTGATTGCTTCCGTGGCATTGGGTTCGACTGTTGCAATCACCTGCTTTATAGCGAAAGAAGAACGTTTTGTAGATTCAGATGCGAGTGCAAAAAAGCAGAATTTCGCGGGGAATATACGCCAAATTTTTAGCAGCATAAAAACGTGCCCGAAAGAGATCAGGAAGATTTGCATGGTTCAATTTTTTGCTTGGATAGGCTGGTTTCCGTTTTTATTTTATATAACCTCGTAAGTTCTCTTTATTATCATCTCGTGACTTTGAACATGATGCTAATAAAATTATCTAGATACCTAGGCGGTCTTTGTACGTTGCTCAAGATTTCTAATGTTGATAATAGCGAAACTGACTGGATCCAGATGAAGCAGAATACACCGCGATGTCCAAAAAGGAAACTCCTACTCTCGCATTCCCTACCACATCATCTCATTCCATCCGCCATGCAACGTTCATCATGATTCTCTTCGCCCTAGTTGCACTTATCTCAAACTTGACACTTCCTTTGTTCATCTCGCCTTCCTCTACCAGCTTTAAAAATCAGAAACCTACTTTCATCTCCCGGCTCTACATTAAATTTCTCACCCTTCCCCGCGTCTGGACGCTCTCTCATATTCTCACCACCTTTCTCACCATGTCTACCTTATTGGCATCGGCCTTTAACTCTACCTCAATTCTTGTTATCTTCCTCGGTATCTCCTGGGCCACCACTACTTGGATT